AAGCTGCAGACATCTTTAAAGGGATCCACTCAGTCTCATCTTTGTGTTAGGGTTTCAGGTTTTCCCAACCAGTACCCTAACCTTGGCTTATGCAAACTTAAGAAACTTGCCTCAGGGGAGCCCCTGCCTGGTTGAGAGTGTAAATCAAAATCAAGCTGGGAGCAGTGATCACATGAGAACTTACTATCGCGAAGACAGTGTCAAGCCATGAGGGATTCGCCCCCATGACCCAACACTTTAGAACCATGGCTGAGACAGGAGGATTGCTTAGGTCCAGGAGTTCATGACCAGCCTGGGCAATATAGTGAGATCCTCTGTCTCAATTTAAAACACAAAAATCACACCTTGAAGGATATAAAGATGATGCCACCCTTGAGGATCTCAAGGATACAGAGAGGCCCCCACCAAAGCTCTATCTAATTCACCAATCTGGCCACTGCTGGCACTGGGTAGATCCTGAGGAATGACTGCAGGCAAGGCCAGCTCAATTAAGTAGCAGCTCAGTATTAAGCTGTTCTTGTACTGCTGTAAAGAAATACCTGCAACTGGGTAATTTACAAGAAAAGAGGTTTAATTGGCTCATGGTTCTGCAGGCTGTACAATCATAGCACTGATGTCCCTTGGCTTCTGGGGAGGGCTTTGGGAGGTTTTACCCATCACAGAGGGCAAACTAGGAGCAGGCACATTACACAGTGAAAGCAGGAGCAAGAAAGAGAGGCAATGGGGAGGCAGGGTAGGTATCACACACTTTTAAACAACCAGATCTCACAAGGACTTCCTATTGCAAAGGCAGTGTCAACCCATGAGGGATTCTGACCGGTGACCCAAACACCTCCCACCAGGCCCCACCTCCAGCACTAGGGATTATAATTCAACATGAGATTTGGGTGGGGACAAATATCCAAACTTATATACCAGGCTCCAATGGTAGCTGCTGTGCTCATGTGGCATCTTCTTTGCTGAAGCAGATGAGAAGGCCCCTGGAACACAGTATCCAGCCACTGATCTGCTGAACATGTTCTTTTCCATCTCAACCACAGATGATCAGAAACTGGCTGCATTTGCAGTTTCACCTTAGGGCTATGGAAGTTCTGCTTTCCTCAGAGACTCGGGTCTCCTGAACATCCTGCACAATGTCACACTGATCTATCACACTGATGACATCATGCTGATCAGGCAGAATTAGCAAAGGTGGCTAGCACCCTGATGGCTTTGGTAATTCACATTTACCCCAGAAGGTGGGAGATAAAATCTGATGAAGATTCAAGGACTTGAGATTTCAGTAAAGTTTTTAGGAGTCCAACCGTGAGGGTGTGCCAGGACATGCCCTCCATATAGAGGTCAAACTGCTTTACCTTATATCCCCTTCCACAAAGAACAGAACCTGGCTTTGGGTTCTGGAGGGAACACATTCCACCCTTAGGGATACTGCTCCAGCTCATATACGGAGCGACAGAAAAGGCTGCCAGCTTTGAGGGGTCTAGGATGGGAAAGAGGTCTGCAGCAGGTCTAAGGTGGGGTGCAACCATTCCTGCCATTTGGGCTATATGATGTGGTAAACCCTATGGTGCTGATGGTGTCAGCAGTAGCGACAGATGTAGTGTGGGTTTTATGGTGAGACCCAGTGGAGAATAACCATGAAGGTCCCATGGTTAGACCTGAGAAAGACCATTCCAAGCACAGTGGAGAATCATGCTTTTGGAAACAAATTACTGTGCCATGGTAGAGCCAGAATGCTTGACCACAGGACATCAAATGACCATGCATCTAGAACTGCTCATATGTGCTAAGTTCACTTGGACCCACTGTTAAGGGCTGAAATGTGTCTCCACCAAATTCTTCTGTTGAAGTACTAACTCCTAGTACCGCAGAAAGTGACTATGCTTGGAAACAAAGTCTTTAAAAAGGCATATTAAAATGAGATCTTTAAAATACACCCGAATCCAATATGACTGGTGTCCTCATAAGAAGAGAAAATTTAGACACAGAGTAAAGATAATGTGAGACAGACGATGGCCACCTGCAAGCCGAGAGGCCTCAGCAGAAACCAACCTTGCCAACACCTTGATCCTGACCTTGGGCTTCTAGCTTCCGGAACTGTGAGAAAATTAATTTCTGTGTGGAAGCTACCCAGTTTCTGATATTCTGTTACGGCAGCTCTGGCAGAGTAATGTGCTCACCCACTCAGAGTCAGGTGGAGCCAGCAGCAGTCCATTGGAAGGTGGAAATGGCACATCTGGTATTGACCATGAGCAGAATGGGAGAGCACAAGTAAATTGCAAGAGCAGGTAGGCCAGACTCCCATGTCACCACCTTAGTTCTTTATACCTATAGCCATATAGAGGGTCCCATACAACCAACTGAAAGGAGAAGAAAAAGCTGATCTTAGTTTATAGATGGGTTGGCCTGTTATGTGATTACAAGCCAACAATGGAGGGTGGCTGCCTGAAAGCCATGCAGGGGTGCCCTTAAAAAGAACATGGAAAGAGAAGACCTTTCAAAGAATAAAGCTTCAGGTAGTATACCTGCTCATGCACTATGTATCCTAGTGACCTGTGGTGAGAAAATACATTTAGTCATGAGCAGTAGCCTGGCTAGATACTTTGGGGCTTATAGAAGGAAGAAGTGCAGAGAAGCAGAAAACAAGGAAGTAAAGGTTGGAGGAGCGAGGATGGGCCTATCTATGGGAGAGGATAGGGAGTATGAAGATCTGTATATTCCATGTTAACACTCGCTAGAAAGCAACCACCATAGCAAGAGGCACTGAACCATCCACAAGATAAAATGACTTGGTCAGTTAACTTTAGTCAGCTTTCATCATCAGCCACCCCAGAACTACCATGATGAGCATCTGAATGGAATAGGCCTCACTGTACAGATGGTCCCTACTCTTGGGACCCACAGCATGAATTCTCACCTACCACGGCTAATCTAGCTATTGCCACCTGTGAATATCCAATCCGCTGGCAACAGAGACAAATACTGAGTCCCCAATATGGCACTATTCTTCAAGGAAACCCATCAGCTACTTGGTAGCCCAAGAACTCCATTGGGTCCTTTCCACTGTGAAAGGGCCAGTAGCTGATTCTCACAATAGACATTTTCTCCACGCGGGTTTGCCTTTCTGCCTGCACAGCCTGCTCAGTTTTGCTTCCTCCCTCTTTTATCATTATAGTCATTACTTCGTCTCAGCATCTGCTTCCTGAAAGACTCAACGGACACTCTAGTCTTTCCTCCCTTTCTCTCTAGAAAGGGGAAAATAGAGAAACTGAAGAGAAGAGGTATGGACTTAGGAGCATAAGCACAGTAGGAGGCTGGTATTAAGGGTATTTTTAAAGTTGGCCGGGCGCGGTGGCTCAAGCCTGTAATCCCAGCACTTTGGGAGGCCGAGGCGGGTGGATCACGAGGTCAAGAGATCGAGACCATCCTGGTCAACATGGTGAAACCCCGTCTCTACTAAAAATACAAAAAATTAGCTGGGCATGGTGGTGCGTGTCTGTAATCCCAGCTACTCAGGAGGCTGAGGCAGGAGAATTGCCTGAACCCAGGAGGCGGAGGTTGCGGTGAGCCGGGATCACGCCATTGCACTCCAGCCTGGGTAACATGAGTGAAACTCCGTCTCAAAAAAAACAAAACAAAACAAACAAAAAAAAGATTTTCTAATGAGGAATTATGAAGCCTCCACACCACAATCTGCATTCTTAATAGAGGGTCACCCAGCTTTTTTTCCCTTTCTCCACCCAGTAGCCAACCAGTTACTTTTTCGAGTCATCTTAAAGTCTTTAGGGCAAAGAAGGATTAAAAATACATACTCAAGTTTTTAAATTTTTCTACAGCAAAAACAGATTATTTTTAAAAGCCATATTCTACATAAATACTTTCAGATATTGACAATTTTATAAATAAAATCATTTTAAACAGTAAATACATGATAAATTTCTCTGATACAAGGTTTTATATAGGTCAACTTATTCACAATTAATTGTGAAAATATAAAAACTTTACATTCTTTTCTTAAAAAGTATTCAACATAAACAATTTTACAAAATTATCAAAAGTTAAAAAGTGCTAGATATGCTAGTATTTTGTTCCACTATTAAAGCAATGATAGCTTATCGGATCTTAAAAAAGAAAAGGTGAATTAGGGCGTAAGACTCATCCTAGGCCGGGCGTGGTGGCTCACACCTGTAATTCAAGCACTTTGGAGGCCAAGGTGGGCGGATCACCTGAGGTCGGGAGTTCAAGACCAGCCTGACGAACGGTGAAACCCCGTCTTTATTAAAAAAAAAAAAAAAAAAAAAAAAAAAAAGACTCATCCTATATTGCCTAAAAATGAACACTTCAGAGAGTTTCTTAGGTACTGGGACAGGCTGGGAAGCTGACTGAGTTCAAAACCAGTGAAGGCTGCCATCTGTCTGGCACCATTACCCATCACGGTTGTCAGAACCAGAAGACTTCTTCCTGGCCACCCTTAGGGAGAGTCTTCTACACCTACTATTTCCTAGTTTCCAGGAACAAGGGTTTTAGAAAGAATTCTGACATTTAAATCCTTTGCCAGTACTGAAACTCTCCCAAAGATTGAGGCATTCTGCATTTGAATTTTATAGAAAAAGTCATTAATCTAATTCCAAATGAAAAGAGAGCACTTCATTTGTCACTTGACTTCGTATCACTTGTGGAGGTAGGATAATTTTCTTCTTTGACAACTGTCTTGACTATATAAATGGTGATTATACTGGAAAGGGTTCTAATGCCTTTTCCACATTCTTCCAGTTGTGAAAATTCTCTCTGTACCATTCAACTGGTAGGGAAAAACAAAAGACAAAAAAAAAAAAAAAAAAGAAAGAAAGAAACAAAAACCAAACATCAGTTAACCAACATTTACTAAGTTCCTGCTAGCTAAGTCTTGCCCATTAGCTAAGCAGCAGATAAGGGCTGCATAATAATATAAACAATTTGATTTTAAGGTTAACAACGAAGTTACTCAGAAGACATTTAAACCACCTAAAAAATTTAGAATTAAAAATCAACCATTTTTTTTCTTTTTAACTTCAAAAGTCATTCAATACTAAACTTATTGGTACAGATATTTGAGACATTTTGATTTTAAGGAATTTGGGGTATGGGAAATAAGTCATCTGCCCTGGTTTTAAGGTTATTTTACATAGAAAAGTATAATACAGTGTTTGGTCACATAAATATGGTAACACTGCATCAGAGGCACAATGAGATTATGTGAACTTCCTTGTATTTTTTTTTTAAGAGATGAGGTCTCGCTGTTACCCAGACTAGAGTGTAGTGGTGCAATCATAGTTCACTATAAACCCAAACTCCTGGTCTCAAGAGATCCTCCTATCTCAACCTCCTAAATAGCTAGGACTACAGGCATGTGCCACCATGCCCTGCTGATTTTTTCACTTTTTGTAGAGAAAGGGTCTCACTGTTTCCCAGGCTGGTTTCAAACCCCTGATCTCAAGTGATCCTCCCACTTTTGTCTCCCAAAGTGCTTTGATTACAGATTGAGCCACTATGCCTGGCACCTTCCTTCCATTGACATGTGAAATTGGCCGGGCGCAGTGGCTCACACCTGTAATCCCAGCACTTTGGGAGGCCAAGGGGGGTGGATCACCTGAGGTCAGGAGTTGGAGACCAGGCTGGACAACATGGTAAAACCCCATCTCTACTAAAAATACAAAAAATTAGCCGAGTGTGGTGGCGCATGCCTGTAATCCTAGCTACTCAGGGGGCTGAGGCAGGAGAATCGCTTGAACCTGGGAGGCAGAGGATGCAGTGAGTCGAGTTTGCGCCACTGTACTCCATCCTGGGCAACAAGAGCAAACCTCCGTCTCAAAAAAAAAATTCAAAAACTTGAAATTATTTTATATTGCTACGCTACCAGTAAAAGCTTTTTAAAAGAAATCTGATAATTTTAAATTATTTTTGTTTTTTAATATTTGACTTAAGTATCTCGTATTTCGAGATCTGAATCAACACTTTGTTTTTCTACATCTGGGTAGAGCTTTTCTCATGAATACATTTCTAAATAGTGCTTTAACATATATGCAAAGACTTTATATGCACTTATTTTAATAGATTTTTCTGCACATGCTAAATTTATTTCCTTTGTTGGCTTCAATATAAAAAGCCTCAAGACACAAAAAGACTGCATCCATATTTCATCAAATCTAAGATGCCACTGATGGATCACTATTTCACATACATGTAAAAAAGAAAAAAAGCTGCAATAATAATTACAAGACACCAGTGATCATAAGAAGACATACCTTTCAGAAGTGTGAAGAAAGTAAAAAAAAGATGTACCTCAGAATCAATGATATAGGTATATTATTAATGCTAACAAGATACGGGAAGACTGATTGGAAGTTGGTTTATAAAAATTCAAGATGTTTAGAAAACATAGGACTCTTAGTAGAAATATATGCAATGTGGCATTTTGAAAAGAACAAATGATTCAACATAGTATTCCAGTGGTCTGTATAATGTTCTGGAAATAAGTTATTTTTCCTTTAAATTTTTCTGACTTCCCCCCAAAATGATTAATTCATAACATACTTGTTTTCTTTATTCCTTCTTTCCAAGGCACTTTAGGTCTCCATCCTAACCCATGTATTTTTTCTGACTTCATTGGATATCTCATGTCATTGGTAGGTCTTGGAAAACAAAACAGATTTAAAATGACATTGTAGATATATATTTACAAATTTAGATCCTAGGAGATATGTGTTTATGCATTTTTACCATAACCCAAGTTTTCTCTTTACAAAAATTTCCAATAGGTTTTTTGCAGAAAATTTGTTAAAATCAAGTATTACAGTAAAAAAAAAAAAAAAATCATCCATACTACCAGGTGCCTAACCTCTGTGTCTTATCTTCTTGTTTCAGCCACGATCTAGATATAAGTGAAGTACCTGACCATAAAAATACTCTATAAACATTCAATGAATGAATAAACAAATATACAAAAATGTATTAGGACTCATGCCCTGGGTCAGGTATTTCATATACATTATAAATAAATGTTAAAATACTTTTATAAGAAAGACGTTATTATCCCTATTTCACACTGGAGGTTTGAAACTTCAGACTTGGAAAAGGGCAATAATTTTTAAGTCACGTAGCTAGTAGGTAATAATGCTATACTTAACTTGTATGGCATTTATAATTATGGAAAAAAATGTTTTGCCAGAAAATTCAAAAGAGATGAAGTAGTTATTGGTCAAGTCCACATATTTCACGATTTTATAAGTACCTAAGATTTCACAACCTTTCCCCAATGTTTTAACTTGTTACTCACCTATCATTAACATAATCAACCCAATTTTCCATTTCAGACTCTGAATTGGTCTCTTTGATCTGTCAAAATGGAGACGGCTTTTGAGTCAAATTATAAAATGAGATCAGAGAATAACAATGGTATTTAATGGCTGATTAAAAAGAAAATAACTGCTTCACAGCAGCGAAGACAGCTAAAATGAACATCATTTTAGTGACGCTTTCTATACTTTATAACCTAAATTCCACCTGAAGCTCAGATATACACATTGGACTCTGGTTATTATTCAGTCCCTCTTTATATTAAACTAAGATTTATAACTAATGTCCCCTATGGATATTCATAACTATTAACAGTACAGATGCATATTCATATATGGAGATTCATAATTACTAATATAATTATTTTATATATCACTGTTACTTATTTTTAGACACAATTTTATATTTCTGAAAATGAGTTATATCTTACAATTAGGGAATGCACATTTAATGAACTATTTTTTCCTGAAAAGCTGTTGCTAAATAGATGATACAACTTAAGACACAAATGGTAGACACAAACATTAATTTCATTTTCTACTTGCTTACTTTTAAATTAAGTAAACTGTATGCTACTGATTTTGACTAAATTAATGGTTACTGCCACTAACAATTCTGAAAATACCACTCTTTTAAAATAGATACAGACCAGTTGTATTAGTTCTTTGGCAAGCTGGACAACCGACATTTCAAAATTGGTTCCGATGTTATAAATTTCACCTGGTTTCCCTTTTTTGAGGACAGTGAGAAATGCTTCCACAACATCAGTAGCATAAAGGAAGTTTCTTGTTTGAAGCCCTGATCCATGAATGCAACTAGAGATTAAAAGAAGTGAAATCATAAGTGTAAAAAGGTAAGCTCTCCTAAAGCATCTACTAGGTACAACTCCAGAGAAGCCAATTCCCCCGGGGATCTCAGAATCTTTTACTGAAAATACAAATCATCACAGCTTTTCTAAATTTTGTTCCTATTTCTTAAATAATCTCCAAACCCTCTGACGGTACTCAGTAGGAAAGTGGCAAACATATCAGTGACCCCTGTGAAATGTGTATTTAATTTTATACCATAAGTTTGTTGTAAGGAAATAGCTACAGTTCTATGACATAAGTAAGGCCTTTGAGAAAGTAAAATTATATAAAAATAGCTTTCAAATTTTAATGCTATAACTCACAGTTCTGTGATAGGTCATTAAGATTTGACATTCTATCAGCAAGTAAATTATAAAAACAAGATACACATTATTTTAAAAACTATTACACTGGAGAAATGATTCTTACATTTAGTGGGACATTCAATTCTATGGCCTCTAAGACTTTATGATATTCAAGAAAGAGTGCCACCAAATACTCTAACATACCAAAAAAGCATATGGGTAAAAAAGAAAATAATTACATACCATTTCCTGTTGTGCTGTAGCAAAGATATAAATTTTGGAATAACCTAAAAGAATATTTAAATCAGACTGGAAATTTACTCATTAGTATGAATCTGAACTCGTCATAAGATAAAAAGATTAAGAAATATGCATATGGACTGCTTCTAATTCTTTTTATCAGTCGAATAAAAAACCTACTATAATATTTGATAAGTAAAAGAACTCCTAAGTTTGCTATTTCATAAAGACAGACTACTTGAAGACAAAATGATCTGAATAGCGGAAAAATGCAGAAAAAGTCTTCATCAAACAGTTGGTCTCATCACAAAGTTCACCTTTGTGCTGACTTTATAAGGGCAAATATTTGTCTCTCATTGCTTTACATATAGCACCTATGCATTAAGTACCTGATGAATTTATAGAAAGTAACTTCCAGAGCTCTTGGATTCAAAGAAAAATTAAGCAAAGTAAATATTAATACCTGCAGTTCATGACATGGCCCTTTCCTTTGGGCAAACAGATCAATCCAACGAGCTGGGAAGCAAGAAAACCCAGTCTCCAAATTTAGGCAGAGTGGCCAAAGTTATATAAAATCACGCTTGATGATATAGAACCAACTGCACAAGCATTTTCAGCCTCTAAACTACATTTTTTAATTCATTACTTGTAGTACTTTCTGGAAGACATTCATGCCTACACAATAAAGATGAGCTAAGGCACAGTTAGCCAGGTGACACTAAGACAGTTAATGTATACAAGCTTCTTGCATCACTATCTAGTTGGCTTTTGACTTTCTGTATACCCTGATAGACTGGTCTGACTGCAAACAGGGAGTCAGCTACAGCATGTCAGTAGTGATGCTTTAGAGTCTTTAAAAGTACAAAGTATTTTCATATATATCATTTTCACTGGATGCTTCAAAATCCCTGCTAAGTGGTGAAGCCAGCTGGTGAGTGTCAGCCAGCCTGGGACTTAAAACCCAAGTCTTCAAGCTCTACGTCTGAAGGAATCTGCATGTGGTGTTATACGGCATATAAAATTATGTATAATTTACAACATATTATTTTAAACAACTGAAGAGAGGTTATTTCAAATAATGAGAAGTTGCAATCACTGAAAAATACCATGAATTCAGAAGTAAAGCTTACCTTTTCTGGATATTGATGTGGTCCATAAACATTACTGCTTCTTGTGATAACAACTGGAAACTTAAAAGAATATTCAACATTAAGGCTTTTGAAAAGGTCTGATAATAATGACTATTTTAAAGATGAGCAGAATTTCAAAATATGGGCACCTTTGCCTAAATAATTCCACACACCTTAAGGTCAAAGGGAAGAGATATTTTTCTAATGCAAGGTTTCTAAAATGGAGAGGATAGGATTCAGATAAAGGCAGAGGTTCCAAAAGGAAGAAGAGGCACATTCTTTTATTAGTACAAGAAGATGAGTATAGATGGCACATGTTTATAAGTCTGGGAGCAAAACATTGAAGAACTTTTTAGCTGATTATTTTAAAGACCACCTCCAGGACTCTCTTCATTGTACCAATCCCTACAAATATAAAGAGCTAGTATGAAAGTAAAAAGGACCGACGCCACCAGAACCCAAATGGTGAGAGAATCTTTAGGAATTTCAAGGCTTGCCTCTCTGAACAGTCCCTAATGACACACAAACAGCAGCAGGAAGCCGAATGTAGGAGATTCAAGATGAGGATTCATACGGGGTAAGGCTCCCCTAGTGACAGTGTCAGAGCCACCAGGGGCAAGTCTACTTCCCATTCATGAGGAGCCACAAAAGCAGAATCATGCAGAGAGAAGCACATTGGCAGAAAGGGGATCTGTCCTCCCTCTTCCTCCACTCAAAGGACTCCAACAGCACTCGGACTATAGCTGTAACATTCTACCTATTACTGAAATAGAAAAAAATATATATTCAAATTATTCCCTTAATGATGAACTGAATAAGGGGTAGGTCCTACTTTGTCCACACTATAGAGGAAATTAGTTTTTAAAATTCTATAATATGTACATATTCTCGGTCTATGCCTTCTACTCTAAGCATGCTGCTAAAAGCTGACTTGGGCTGGGTGTGGCTCATGCCTATAATCCTTCTAGCACTCTGGAAGGCCAAGCTGGATCTCTTGAGGTCAAGAGTTTGAGACCAGCCTGAGTGTCAGATCAAGACTGTCTCCAAAGAATAAACAAAAACTTTAAATATCTTTAGGAAAATGGAAAATGTTTCAAGAGCTTCTGCAATCGGTTCTTACCTTATATCGTTCCCAGTAAGACTGTACAAAACATTCAGCAGCTGCTTTAGATGATGCGTAAGGATTTGTAGGTTGTTTGGGTGAAGATTCATCAAATTCCTAATTTTAAAAATATATATTAAAAAAAAGTATTATGCATATTTTAAGTACAAAAATCAGAGCACAGGTTAAAACTTGAAATGTCAATCGCCAAATTTTAAAAGCCACTTCTTAAATCTATGTGCCTGGTGTTTTCCCGAGGACATGTGGTAACTTCTTTAACATGCACAACAATCCTAGATAGCAGAGAGAGAGAGAACAGCATGTGTAAAAGCCCTGAGACAGAAGCGTGTCCAAAGGAACCACAGGCAGGCTGATGTGAGGGGAGAGACAATGGAAGAAGAGGTCAGAGAGCTAGAGGAAGGCCAAAACTTTGAAGGCCACCATAAAACAACAACAGATTTTGAGCAGAGTAATGCCAGGTCTGACTTACATATATATATATATTTTTTTTTGAGTCGGAGTTTCGCTCCTCTTGTTACCCAGGCTGGAGTGCAATGGCGCAATCTCGGCTTACCGCAACCTCCGCCTCCTGGGTTCAGGCAATTCTCCTGCCTCAGCCTTCTGAGTAGCTGGGATTACAGGCACGCGCCACCATGCCCAGCTAATTTTTTGTATTTTTAGTAGAGACAGGGTTTCACCATTTTGACCAGGATGGTCTCGATCTCTTGACCTCGTGATCCACCCGCCTTGGCCTCCCAAAGTGCTGGGATTACAGGCATGAGCCACCGAGCCCGGCCTGACTTATATTTTAAAAATCATTCTGGCTACTGTGTCGGAGCTGATGTAGGGTGGCAGGGTGCATGAAGAAAGAAGTTTACCTGATAAAAACTGCAGAAAATTGAAAATAGTTACCTCTTGGAAGTAAAATTGATAACTGAGAAGTGGTCAAGGTCTACTTTTTTTCACTGTAAATCTTTTTGGACTATTTGATTTTTTTTCACTATGTGTTCTGGCAAAATAAATAAATAAATAATAAAATAAAATGAGGTCACTGCAAAAGCCAACTATAAACACTATAGATTGGACAATGGAGTCTTCTTTGCATAAAAACCATAATATTTACACATGATTTATTAAAAAAATAGATTCTGGTTTTTACAAAAATTTTACACTGTCTCCTTGGCATTCCAACATGTTTTCCTGACTGAAAGGGAAAGACGAACAGGCAGTGTGCTGCAGCTGCACTCGCTTATGCTTTGGTCCACGGAATGATATTCATCACATTTGCAAGAGTGGGACAAAAAGGTGAGATCTGCATTTCTCTGTAGGGGGGAGATCCCATCAGCACTGGAGCAAAAGGCCTCAGCCTATTTCCATATAAATAATGATAAATAAAGTAACTAGAAATATACCATAGTAATTATTAGTTATTCATATGCGATCTTAGTTAGTCATAGGTGATCTTAATTCTTTTACTAACACCTCTCAGGTCGGAAGTGTGAACCTGGGGTTGACAGTGTGAAATGAATGACATTAAGGCAAGATGCATGAGGGCTGCTGGAGGTCGCCTCGGCTGTGCAGCAGCGCCAGCGCTGTGAAAGCGCCTGCTGTTTAACCAGCTAGGGAAGGAGATGTCCAAAATCTCCTTCCTGGGGAAGTTTGGAGAAAACTCCGCTTCTCCAACCTCTTGTGGTAGGGCCCGAGGGCTGTCAGGGAGGCCCGCAGACATCCGGGGCCTTAACTGTCTCTATGTGATGATGCTGTGCCTCAGTGGTTACGATCCATGTCTACTCTCATGTTCTGCTTCTGCACCTGGTTCCTTTTTTCTTAGAAAAGATAATCAGTAATAATAATATAATGTTTTAGTTCTTTCTTGATAAGTATGGAAAAAATGCTGATGCATTATGCTCCTTACCTCAGTTTGGGTGCCAGAAATTCCTGAGCCCCTACCTGAATGACATGTGATATACTTCACCCTATCACTACCATGCCCTATCTACCCTGCCCCCAGTCTCCGACCACCAAGGCCATGCCCTACCTACCCTGCCCCCAGATTTGCAACTCAATAAAAGTGAGAGCGTCCCAGCATTTGGGGCCACTGCTGGTCTCCGCGATTTGGGTAGCAGTGGACCCCTGGGCCCAAACTCTCTTTTCTTTATCTCTGTGTCTTGTGCCTTTTATTTCTACAATTTCTCATCTCCGCACCAGCTGGGCGGGGCTCACAGAACCTTGTAGGGCTGGACCTTATAATTCTCTTGCAAAATTACAAATAAATCTATAACTGAAGAGATTTCTGGGGCATGAAAAAATAAATACGTCTCTATCAGGACTAGGCTGTTGTTCCTATTTGGGGTGATATCACTTGATCTGAACAGAGGAGACATGGAATAACATTCTGTAACGGTTAACACTAAGTGTCAACTTGGCTGGACCGAAGGATGCAAAGTATTGCTCCTGGGTGTTGTCAAGGGAGATTAACATTTGAGTCAGTGGGCTGGGAAAGGCAGACCCACCCTCAATCTAAGTGGGCACCATCTAATCAGTTGCCAGTGTGGCTAGAATATAAAGCAGGCAGAAAAACATGAATAGACTAGACTGGCCTAGCCTCCCAACCTACATCTTTCTCTCATGCTAGATGCTTCCTGCCCTCGAACATCTGACTCCAATTCTTCAATTTTGGGACTCAGACTGGCTCTCCTTGCTCCTCAGCTTGCAGATGGCCTATTGTGGGACCTTATGATCATGTGATAGAATATATATTCTATCAGTTCTGTCCCTCTAGAACTCTGAAGAGTGCCACAGTGTACATAATTTGAGGATGAAAAAAGCCCAGTGTAGGTTTAATAAAACTGTATCACGGTAGATGGTAAGTAGGTAAAATACACATTTTCTAAGCTCACCTTATCAAGGCTGCCACCATATACTTCATCTGTGCTGACATAAATAAATTTCTCCACTCTGGCTTCATGAGCAGCACTTACCAAAACATGAGTGCCATAAACATTAACATAGGTAAACTCAAAGGCACGTACAAATGAAAGATCTGAAAAACAAAGAGTGAAAAGCTAAAACAAGTCTACCCAAGGAATAAAACAAATGCCAAATGATGAACTCAGGTTTAAGAAGAGTACCTTTCACTGCTCTTCATACCATAGCTGCAACAGTTGTAGTAACAACACACACAGGCAGTGATATTTATGATTTCTTAAAACCTAAATTACACAGTACATGTAAATCCTTAGAACCCAGAAAACCACCAGTGTTAAATTGGCAGAAAACTGTTTTTTATTCTATAAGGAAGAAACTTTAAAAAATGATACAACTAAATTTAAAATGTTCTTAAATTTAAAAAAATTATGAATTACAGGACTAGGCTTTTCAGATCAATCTGTTACTGCCGAAAGCAATAAATGCTGAATGAGTTATTTAAAAATAAATTCACCTTAAAAAAACAGACCCTCCATAACCAGGAAATGGAAGAAACTTTAATTATGACTCACAATTCAGAAGCAATAATGAAAGAGGCTTATAAATTTGACCATATAAAAATTTGTATGGTCTAAAGAATTATTATAAAGCTATAGTGATTAAGATGGAATGGTAACAGTATAAGCACAGACAAAGACCAATGTAATCAAACAGAGCTGAGAAATAGAAGCATACATATATAAACATTTGACCATGACAAAAGTGACAATGAGGGAGAGTCAAGTCTTTCCAATAAATGATTTTGAGTCCAACTGGTATCAATATGGGAAGAAATCTAAATGTAAAAGGAAAAACAGTAACTTTTAAGAAAAGAATTGTAAGACAACATGTCCATGACCTTGGAGGTAGGAAACGAGCTCTTGATCAAGACAGAAAGAGCATTAACCCTAAAGAAAAGTAAAGATAAACTGAACCACATGGAAATTAAGAACTTTCACTAATAATAAGACACCATTAAGAATGGAAAAAGGCAAAGCAGACTGACGAAAAGGTAGTTGAAAAGGCTTGAATCCAAAATATATATAGGAATTATAAAAATCTATAAGGAAAAAACTGACAACCTAATAGGAAATGGTCTCGAAACTTAAATAGAAACTTTCCAAAGAGGATATACTAATAATAAAGAGAAGAAAAGTCTAATAAACAAATGAAAAAGGTTTTTAACCTCATCAGAGAAAAATAAAACTGCAAAATCGACACAGCGAGTGTTGGCAAGCATCTCATAAATTGCTGGCAGAAGTTCACAACTGGTTTTATCATCGACCAAGTAGAAGGACTTGCTTTAACGATATGAAATCATTGTATTTGTCAATATAGCGCGTAATCAGACAAGTAGGGACAAACAATGAAAAGAGACAGAGATATCAAATATACTTGATATGACACAGAGTAGAAACGGATGAACTTTTCAGTAAGTGGTACAGGAACAATTGGTATTCATACATACAAAAAATGAAATTGGTGTTACATAAGAATTAATTTCAGATGGATTACAAATCTAAATGTAAAAGAGAAAATTATAAAGTTTTGAAAATATACAAAAATATATCTTCATGACCTTGGGGTAGGAGAGAATTTAAGAACTGAAAATGCATTAAGCATCAAGGAAAAAACATACATTCACTACAGTAACACTGTAAACATCTGTTCACCAAAACACACTATCAAAAAGTGAGAAGACCAGCCATACAGAGTAGAAGACAACTGTAACATACATAATGATAAAGAACTAGTGTCCTGAATATATCAAAACTATAAGTGCCACTTTTTCTCATTGAAACCTCTCTTTCAATGAGGAAAAAGGTAAACAATCCCATTTTAAAATGGACAAAAAATTTCAACAGTATTTCACAAAGAAGAAATTCAAATTACAAAAAAAAATATATATAAAGTACTTAATCTTATTAGTAATCAGAGAAAATACAAATTAGAAACATGAGACACCACTACACAGCACTGAGATTTGGCAAAATGGAAAGACTGAGAAACCTAAGCTTTGGTGAGATCTGTAGCAACAGGAAGTCACACACTTCTGGAGGAGTGGAAGTTGGTATAATTACTTTGGACCATAGTTTGACACTATCTCAATGTGAAGTGTACAGATCTTATGATCTCAGTTACACATCCAAGTGTAATGTATACTTATGTATCATGATACATGTCCATGGTAGTACTGTTCAAAACTGCTCCAAAGCGTAAAGAACCCAAATGGCCATCAAGGATAAAGTATATAGGTAGTGCTCGACTTACGACCACGATTGGTTCCGACAGACCGGTTGTAACACGATTTGGTCATAAATTGAGTAAGCTATATGCACGCGGATATGGTAGTGCTGCTGGAAGCTGGTCCGCACTGTCTTACACCCAGGTGGGCAACGTTTGCGCTGCCAGACGCGGAACAGTCGTGGCTAGCGATTGTGGTCGTAAAGTCAAATGGTCGTAAATTGCATAGGTCGTAAGTCGATCAATACCTGTATTAACTACAGTATATATGTATGTGTACATTTTTAGACTGGAATATTATGACACTGAAAACAAACAAACTATATCTGTATTCAACTCCATGGATGAATCTACATATACATAGAAAAACAAAACAAAAAAAACCTTTACATATTATTTTATGTGTGTGTATGTGTGTGTGTATTTTTTTAGCTTAAAAACAGCCTAAGCTAAGCTATATTGTTTAAGGATAAATGTATAGACAGCAAAAGTGTAGAGAAAAGCAAAGGAAATTATAACTTTAAATCTAACAGGCAGCAGTAGTACTTACTACTGAAGAGGGATCAGCAATATTCTATCTTTGGTTCAGGTGATGGATACATGGGTGCTCACATTATCATTATTTACTTGTACTTCAAAATGCTTTCAAATATATTTCATAATAAAACAGTCAAATTATTAGAAAATATCTAAAATTCACAAAATGGTATAATGTTCATCTGCATACCCACCACAAAACTTAAGAAAAACAACGTAAAAATACAGCTGAAGGTCCATCTCTCCATTGCTCCCCTTCGTTATCCTGAACTGGATAAAGTCAAAGTTTTCAGATAGCATTCAAGGTTGTATTTCACTAATACACCCTCGCAATGCTAATAAAAGTATCTAAAAAGTGCTGAGTTTATTGATGACATAGTGACTATGGGCTTGTTTTTCTACTGTACCTAATTATTTAACTCAATTACTGGACTTTGGATTTTGGTTAGTTAGCCACAGCAGGTGGAGGTGGGGGGATCTGCCAATCATAACTGTAACATAAAACAATGCTTACCTACATGTGTTTGCGCAGCAAAATGTAGTACTATATCTATTTTCTCTGTTTCAAAAAGCTGTTTCACAAAGTGAGAATCACATATGTCACCCTACATGAAAAAGCAAACAAAAAAGGGCTAGGTTTCATTGGGCACGCTCATGCATAACCATTTTTACTATAATATCCCCCTACTTCCCACCGACCTGTATAATAGAGAGTGTCTTCAAAATTCCACTAAGAGCTCAAACAAGGATAGCAATGATGTATCTCTCCAGCATCTTAGGATATTAGATATTTAATTCAAACTATTTTTCCAAATAATATTTTAATGAGCACCAACAACTACTAACTGCCATGCTAGTGTTGTCCATAACATTTTTGCCAACCCAAGGCCACTATACTAATAAAAAACTATTTTAGCATTTTAAAAAAAAACCTTTGTGATAATCATTATTAAAATATATCTTAGGTTGGGCTCAGTGGCTCAAGCCTATAATCCCAGCACTTTGAGAGGCTGAGGAGGGTGGATCACTTGAGGCCCGGAGTTCGAGACCAGCCTGGCTAACATGGTGAAACTCCGTCTCTACCAAAAATATAAAAATTAGCTGGATGTGGTAGCAGGCGCCTGTAATCCCACCTACTCAGAAGGCTAAGGCAGGAGAATTGCTTGAACCTGGGAGGTGGAGGTCGCAGAGAGCCGAGATCATGCCACTGCACTCTAGCCTGGGTGACTGAGCGAGACTCTGTCTCAAAAAAATAGTGTAACAACTGGAATGATATTTCGAAAACACATTTTACCACAGTTAAGTAAAATTATGATACTTCTGATGTTTATATGTACATTTAATCTTCTAAAAATATGTATTCTCAACAATTCTTCAGCAGCTAAAGAAAATACCATCATACAGAATAGAATTATGAAACGGTTGTTATATTCTTTAAGTTTGTACTTAAAAAGATAGTTTATAGAATAACTTTTAAAAATCATATATCATAAGATAAATACTCTCATTTGACAATAACATTTCCCTTCACAAATTAATGAACTGGTCATATGGTTTATACTTTGAACTTGTCTAAAAGTGGTAAGAGTCAGACTTCCAGAGTCAATCAACCTTCATAGGGAAAGACTAGGGAGGAACTAAAACACAAACCACATAAATCAACTTTGCTACTAGTAGATCTGCCAAGGTACCAAAAATCACATGTAGCTTTTTATGTGTTGTCAATCAAAAACGGTATCCTCTAGAGCACATGGTACTTTTGGAAATTAACTACCTCATCTTTTAAAAGGTCTTTAATTAGTGTGCCTTTCAAGCCCATTTTACACAAGTTTGTACGTAAAAAGATATTATAACTCCTGCATGACTGAAGAGGCACAGTACAATTTTAAGAAAATGTTCATACCTGTATAAATTTGTAGTTCTGTTTGTTAGAAATGATTTCAAGATTCTTCAAGCTTGCACAGTAATCCAGCTTGAAAGAAGAGAGCACAGCAGGGGCAACACAAAAAGTGATATTAGCTTTTCCGATAAAATACCAATTTATTTTAAAGACTATAGATGTTAATGGTTATAACACAAGAATATACGTCCTCTTAAAGTGTCTTTGCTCTCTATTTTTACATATTTTAAGTTTCTGACATCTTAAAAGTAAAAAACAAGTAATTCTGTTACCTTTTCAAAGCACCAAAAAACAAAACAAAACAAAAACCTTTTCATAATCTCTACTTTAAAAAATGTTCCTGGCCTGGTGCAATGGCTTAATCCCAGCACTACAGCAGGCTGACGTGGGTGGATCACAAGGTCAAGAGATACAGACCATCCTGGCCAACATGGTAAAACCCCGTCTCTACTAAAAATATAAAAATTAGCTGGGTGTGGTGACACATGCCTGTAGTCCCCGCTACTCAGGAGGCTGAGGCAGGAGAATCTCTTGAACCCAGGAGGCAGAGGTTGCAGTGAGCCAAGATCACGCCACTGCACTCCAGCCTGGCGACTCCATCTCAAAAAAAAGTTTCTGCCAAATTTGCCTGTAGCCACTGGTGGCTGGAAAAGTTTTCTATTTCTTATAGAAAAGGAATTAGTGATTGAAGATAATTAGGCCTGTGTTATACATATTATAATTCATTATACCTATTCCTCAAAGTGTTGGTATATTGGTGATACAGAAAAAAATTCCTGTCCATTATAGCAAGTCAGGCAAAATTTCATTAAGAGTTAAGGGTTATTCTTATGATGGATGTCCCAATTACTCTGATTTGATCATTACACATCGTATACATGTATCAAAACATCCCCGTGTACTCCAAAATATGTACAACTAAGATACGTCAATTAAAAAATTTAAAAAATCCAATTAAGGCCTATAATTACCAAATTGCCTTATAAATTTTTCTTATAGTTTTTTTTTTAATGAAAATCCAAAAAGTCCATTTGCAAAGTTGCAACTGAAAAAACAAAACAAAACAAAAATTTTATTTTGTGGACCATCATAAGAAATGAAAGTTTCAAAAGATTTTACATAAGATTAAACACAGCATGAGCACATTATTACACAGAGCCTCTAAATTGCTAAAATGACTAAATACAAAATTAAAATATGATCATGACAGAATTCTATTACTTTTAAAAAAACATAAATTGACATGTAATTTCAGTGCATGAAGCTCATTTTTTTTTTCCTTTTTAAGCTTTGGAAAGAAGCATGAAGCTCATTTTTATAAACTTACCTTGTCTAGATTTATGATCATGTAATTTGGATAATCTTCCACTAAAGAGACAACCATATGTGATGCGCTATTTAAAGAAAAGCATACGTTGTTAGTGAAAAACGTCAACTTCCCTAAACTCTTGAATATTTTCCTAAGCTGTTGAATATTAGGAAAATACTCACAGATAACTTTAATTTTTTCTGAGATAACAGAAAACAATACAACTACACTAAATATACACACATGCATACTTTTTACCAAACTTCTCAACAGTATAAACAAAAGTTTTACATTCCATTTAGACTATGCAGAAGAGAGAATGTACTGGTTCTGGGTATAGGGAAAAAAGTCAGTTTAACCAAATGATGCACTATCCATGCATGTACAAGTGTGGAGTAAAAAGGATGATAAACGGGAGCTAGTCAGCACAACTGTACATGCCTCTGCCTTTTCAGGAACTGCAGATATAAATATGTAAAAATTAAATTAATATGAGCATAGTGGGTTGTCCATATTTACAGTAACTTCTGCAACTGCTGTTTCTTGGTATAAGATTTTGGTAATGTAAACTAGAATCCTCAAAAGGGTTCTAGACTGAAGCCAGGATTCCCAGGTTAATAACAGCCAAAACCATCCTGAGTTGAATATCCAGAGTGGGTCTCTGGTTTCAGAGGACCCTGAAGGGGAATCAGGCATATCTCAGTGAAATGATCCACCAGACTTACCAGATATACTTAAAAAGTTGGGCTCCCAGGAAAGGGCAGCCCTTGACCAAATTATGAACTTGGAGTTTGTATTCGGCATTCCTTTCACAGCACTTTCTAAGTCGCACCCTTCCTGGACCCACAGTCTCACACGAGTATCACCCTTTCATGCCCATAGTTCTTTTTTTTTGAAACGGTGTCTCACTGTGTAGTCAAGGCTGGAGTGCAGTGGCGCGATCTCGGATCTTGGCTAACTGCAAACTCCGCCTCCCAGGTTCAAGTGATTCTTCTGCCTCAGCCCCTGGAGTAGCTGGGACTACAGGTGCACGCCACCACGCCCAGCTAATTTTTGTACTTTTAGTAGAGATGGGTTTCACCATATCGGCCAGGCCGGTCTCAAACTCTTGATCTCGAACTCCTGACCTCGTGATCTGCCTGCCTCGGCCTCCCAAAGCGCTGGGATTACAGGCATCAGCCAACGCACCCGGCCCCTCTTTCTCATTAAGTGAAACTTGCAGTCTGATGTCCTCTAACAAGTGACTTGTATTAGAAAGGGTGAGTTACTGTGCCAAAGGCAATAAACAAGATTCCTCACATTCCCTCTTCTTCCACTAAACACTGAGTTCCTTGAGGGGAGGGTGGGAGAGTTTCTTACATTCATCCATTCAACGATTACTAAAGACTTATACAGAATGGGCCAGCATTCTTCCAAGTGCTGAGTGAACAGTAGTCTCTGTCCTTATCGAGTCTGCATTTTAGAGTGAGGACACAAGCAATAAACAAGCAAACACAAATCAGCAATATAATGTCAGGTAGAGGTAAGTGTGCCAGTTGGGAGAAGGGCTATTTTAGATATGGTGGTCAGGTAAGAGCTCACTGAGGAGGTGATATCTGAATAAAAACCAGAATTGAGTGGTGCAAACAGCCTAAGCAAAGGGGAGGCAAGTGCAAAGGCTTCAAGACAGGAGGAGGAACTAGCCTGGTGTGTTCCAAGATCTGTAAGAGGGGAAGCGTGGCAGGTACAGAGAAGCAGATCAGGTTGCAAAAGTAGGGCTTGGGCACTTGAGTTTTCTAATCCTGCTCACTAACACGATCTGATTGACTTAAGAAACACTGACTTGTACGTGAGCAACGGTCTTTAAAGGAACATGAGTGGACGCAGTTATGGCCAACCAGGAGGCCACAGCAGCAGCCTAGGCGAAAAATGACAGTAAACATGGGCTAGGGTGGTCCTTAGGAAAGTGGTGAGAAGTCGTCGCCGTGAGAGAGGACTTGCTGATCGAACGCGGGGCTGAGGAAGAAAAATATTGTCAACAGTGGATCTGCGACGTTTGCTATTACATGGATGTCCTATTATAATCCTCAAATCGTTTTGGGGGTGCCTGTACGTACAGGGCTTGTGCATCGTGGGGTGGGGGTGCTTTAGGCTGCGGGTGGGAAGCAGTCGGTGACCAGCTTAGGGTAACTTGCAGGCACTCAAAGAGTGACGTGGTGAGCACCTCGGGCCACACTCTTGCTTTGGAACAGGCGTTTTAAAGAAGTCACAGTTTCAAAGGAACCACGTCTTCGCAGGCCAGGGAGAGAAAAGCTACGATGGTCCAAGTAGTGCATTAGGACCCCTCCCCAGGTCAGAATAAGGACCCCTCAAAGCTGGACCCAAATTGCCCAGGGCAAGCAGAGCCGCGGGAAAAGGTAGGGGTTTCTGGGGAGCCACTGCTTAGCTAGCGGCGCTACTACCTACATGAAACCAGCACCGCCGGTCACCAGGACCCGCTTCGCAAAGCCGCCGGGAGGACCCCAGGGTTCCGCCCAACCCGCCGCCGACATCTCCCAGCTCGGCAATGCCTAGTTCCGTAAAGTGTATTGTCTGAAAAGCGCCGCGAAGTTCCGCCACGACTTTTTGCGACACAGCTCGCTCGCTGGACACGTTAACAGAGCTGCCAGCGGCAGCTTCCGGAGATTGCGCGGCGGCCGATTTATCCCCGCCCACTAGTGGGCTGGGCGGGCCCGCGCTCACCGCCGCGTAGGCGCAGCTCCTTTCCGCCCTCGCCTGGTCAACTCGATGCGATTGAGGTCGCCGGGACGGTGGGGGTATGGAACGTTTTTCCCGCAGGTGTCACCACTGTGGGTCAGAATTATGAATGAGTACCTTCTTTCATTCTTGTAATACAGCCATCTCTAGAGGTTACGTATCAGTTGAGCTGAGAACGGGGAGTTGTTGCAGATGGAGATGGGAGGTTGCAATTGCAAAATGATTTTTTTTAAGGGAGACAGGGAGAGGGTCTCGCTCTGTTACCCAGGCTGGAGTTCAATGGCGCGATCACGGCTCACTGTGGCAGGATCGACCAATGGGGCTCGAGCAATCCTCCCACCTCAACCTCCTCAGTAGCTAGGAATACAGTCCTGCGCCACCACGCCCACCTAATTTTGGGTAGGGTCGTGTTTCGCCATGTTGCCCAGGCTGGTCTTGAATTCCCAGGGCTCTAGCCAACCTCCCTCCTCAGCCTCCCAAGGTGCTGGGATTACAGGCGTGAGCCACAGTGCCTGGTCTGCAACATGATCTTTTGCTGTTGTTAATATTATTACATGCCGGGCGAGATGTCTCACGCCTGTAATCACAGCAATTTGGGAGGCCGAGACGGTTGGATCACCAGAGGTCAGGAGTTTGCAACTACCCTGGCCAACATGGTGAAACCTCGTCTCTACTAAAAATAGAAAAATTAGCTGGGCATGGTGGCACGTGTTGTAATCCCAGCTACCGGGGAGGCTGAGGCGAGAAAATCACTTGAACCCTGAAGGCAGAGGTTGCACTCCAGCCTGGGCAACAAGAGGGAAACTCTGTCTCAAAAAAATATACGTATGTATTATTACAGACAGTGCGCAGGCTGCTTTCAATCATGATAAAGATATTCCCCAAATCCTACCCTGGTATCTTATCCTATTCTCCACTTCGCCTATTCTCCTGTTTGGTAACTCCAACCCAATCCCGGAGACCTGAGTGACCCTTCCCCAAATGTCTGCCTATTTTTGTTGTTGTTGTTGTTGTTATTTTGAGACAGAGTCTCACACTGTAGCCAAGCGCCAGGCTGGAGTGCAGTGGCTCGATCTCGGCTCACTGCAACCTCCGCCTCCCGGGTTCAAGCAATTCTCCTGCCTCAGCCTCCCGAGTAGCTAGGACGACTGGCGCATGCCGCCATGCCCAGCTAATTTTTGTATTTTTTAATAGAGACAGGGTTTCACCTTGTTGGCCAGGATGGTCTCCATCTCTTGACCTCGTGATCCGCCCGGCTTGGCCTCCCAAAAGTGCTGGGATTACAGTCGTGAGCCACCGCACCCAGCGTCTGCCTAGTTTTTATCCTTACTTCAGTTTTAAGCTTGAATATCATCCTATTGACCACCACAATTAAAATAGGGAGCTCTACCCAACCCTGCTGAATCATCTTTCCCTTCTCTCTCTTTTTTCCTAGCACTCAACATTTACATTGATGTAACTGCCCTCTGTTTAGTGTTCCATGGGGTCAGGGGTTTTGTTTTGTTTTCTGCTGTAATCCCAAGTCCTTAGAGACTTGGCACAGAATAAATGACCATTAAATATCGTCGAATAGGTGAATAAATATCTTTTTCCCCCCAATATAATGTTTGGCAAAGCTGATAATGAATGGAAACATCCAGTACAGGTGTATATGTGAAAGTATCATGTCACAACCTTTTTACAGGGCAAAGTGGTGATATATATGAAAATTTCAAATGTCCTTATTCTATGACCCCCCTAAATTCCATCATGTATAATATAGATAATTGTTCATAGCTGTATTGCTTGCAATAATGGAACACTGAAAATCATCTAAATGTGTTTTATAGCCTTTAAAAAGAATATACCAACATGGAATTAAAACCAAAATTGTAAGGTCTTTTAGGCTGACTGACAGTGCCATGGACTGCATGGTAACCTCTGTGACCTGCATGTATACCTCCAGATGAGTTCCTGGAAATAGAAAGTCTGAAGTAACTGAAAAACCACAAAAAGGGAAGAATTAGGCCCTGTGGCTGTTGGGAACCAGCTCAAGCCTGTGCCTGGGTGCCCCATGTCCCGGTGATGCTGAGGGAGTGAGAAAAAGAAATAAAGACAAAGACACAAGAGCAGTTCACATGGTTCCAGGGGTCCAACGCACACTCTCGAGGGGTGACCTGCATGGGCACTGAGCTCTGGGCTCCACATGCTGTTTTCAGGTGTATACACTTGTTAATTCAGGGGTGAGGGAGCAGGGAGGGATAATCACGGGAGCACTTGAAACCAAGGTGGGCAAGATAGCCAAGTGAGAGGCGTGGTCTGCAGTATTCAGTAGCAGACGTGATTCTTATGCAAACCTAGAACACTGAGTTTCTACCTCTGGTTGCTACCAAGGTGCATTTGCATCAGAAGCTTAGTGGATAAGGTGCCACCAGGTTTGACCACACCCAATGCATCTATGGGCTTTTATCTCCAGAGCATTGTGGACACAGAGCAATCAAGATTATTCCATATTCTGAGAACCTAGGCAGAGCCTGTGGCATTCTGGTAATCTCTGACCTGCAAGGCTTTTTCCCCTTGCAAGCTCCCATCTGCAAAGACCCTCCTGGATCTTATGAGCAGAGGTCGCCTGCCTTCTCAGAGATGTTGCATAAGCCCTCTTTACGAGACCCTCATGCAGACTCTATGTTGAGTAGGCATTCGTGGGACCAAAGCAATATTTCCTGCTCTGCAACCACCCCTCAATATTCCATGGTTTTACAACGCTCTCAGATGGTCTTTACCTTAGGCCTCCTATTGCCACTTGATTTCTATTTTACTACACCAATGTTTGATATATTTAACCGATATTATTTAACTAGAAGTAACATAGGTATGCCCTGGCCATCCTGACCCACAAGGGCAACTAATTAACTTGAGACATTCTTCTATTGTTCCTTATTCCCACCTCAATTGATAAGGCAATTGGACTTTGTAACCAACTTTGGTCAACCTTGTGACTCCAGATCCTAAGACCCCCTCCCAGCTTGCAAAAACTGCCCTAAACTGTAACTTCTGTAACTTTCCACTGCCTACCCCAAACCTATAAAACCAACTCCTGTCCCACCTCCTGCCGCTGACTCTCTTTTTAGACTCAGCCAGCCCGCACCTGGGTGAATAAACAGCCATGTTGCTTACACAAAGCCTGTTTGGGGGAAGTCCCTTCATTCAGAGCATGGTTTTATCAAAAATATCTTGCAGGCAGTATGTACAGTTTTTTTTCTGACCAGATTCCCCTCAACCATCCTTTATGATCTCCCCAAGTTGACCCAGGCAGGCCACAGAATGGAATCGGGCTGACTCTAGGCCAACTGAAGCCTCTTCGTGGGATTTAGAATTTGACTAAGGTATTAGTATAGTCTGGTTTCTCTACATGAATTCTGAGGTCCTACAAAGCTGGAACTTTTTGGTGGTCATGTTCTTTCAAAGTAATGGAGGAGCCCAAAAGCCTGTCCTCACAGTGAGAAAACCAGTTGATCGAGAAGAAAGAAAAGACAGGAGAGGCCTACCAGTATTCAAGGTCTGTGTTATGATTTTTTTCAGAAGCAATTTTATTCCTGTCCTTGGTTTACAAATGCCACATATATTTGTAAAGGGTTATTTGAAAGGATTCACCCTAAACTCTTAAAAGAAGTTACCTTTGGGGATGGGATATAGGCAGGGAAAGGAGGATATGGGGACTTTTTTACTTTATACACTTTTTTTTGGTTTGTTTTTTAAGATGGAGTCTCTCTTTGTGGCCTAGACTGGAGCGCAGTGGCACAATCTTGGATCACTGCAACCTCTGCCTCCCAGATTCAAGCTATTCTTCCACCTCAACCTCCAAGTAGCTGGGATTACAAGCGTGTGCTACTACATTTGCCTAGTTTTTAGATTTTTAGTAGAGATGGGGTTTTGTTTGCCATGTTGGCCGGGCTGGTCTTGAACTCCTGACCTTAGGTGATCTGTCTGCCTTGGCTTCTCAAAGTGCTGAGATCACAAGCGTAAGCCACCAAGCCCAGCCCACTTTATATACTTTTGACTGTAAGTTTTTTTCTGAGTCACATGAATTACTTTTATAATAAAGAACCATTGCAGTTTTTTATCCAATTAATACTTCCAGCATATTCCTGGTCAGTCAGAAATACTGAAGATACTGGGTATATGGTAGGAGTGGTCCCTCAAGATTTTTTTTTTCTAAATAATGAGGTCTGTTGTGAGAACTTGCTTATATGTTATAGAAGCCTGTTGTTGAATGAAAATAATTTGCATACATGTATTCCTGAAATAATTTTGAGCTCCTACTTTTGTGACTGGTGGAGGGTCTTGACTGCAAATTGCTCAGGTTCTTGGCGTTTTGAACAAAGAATTAGACAAAACACACAAAAACGCAAGCAAAAAATGAAGCAGGGATTTATTGAAAATGAAAGTCCATGGCCAGGGGCTGTGGCTCACACCTGTAATCCCAGCACTTTGGGAGGCCTAGGTGGGTGGATTTCCTGAGGTCAGGAGTTCAAGATGAGCCTGATCAACACTGTGAAACCCCATCTCTACTAAAAAAAATACAAAAATTAGCTAGGTGTGGTGGTGCACACCTGTAACCCCAGCTACTCAGGAGGCTGAGGCAGGAGAATCACTTCAACTTGGGAGGTGGAGGCTGCAGTGAGCTAAGATTGTGCCAGAGCACTCCAGCCTGGGTGACAGAGCAAGACTCTGTCTCAAAAAAAAAAAAAAAAAAAAGAAGAAGAAGAAAAGGAAAGTACACCCCTCAGTATGGGTCCAGAGCAGTGCTGAAGGGCCCAGATACAGAATCTTCTTGGGTCCAAACACCCCTGAGAGGTTTCTCATTGGCCACTTGGCACGCACCTCATGTAAATGAGGTGGTGGACCCAGTCGGTCTGATTGGTTACCCAAAGCAACTAATCAGAGGCTGAAGTGGAATTACAAAGGTCACACTCCTTTGCAAACATCTGATTGGTTGCAAAAAGCAATGTTACACAGTTACAAAGTTGCACTTCTATGCAAACAAAGACTCAGCTGGCAATCAGTCTGATTGGTTGGGAACAACCAATTTCTTATCTGCCTCCAGAAAAAGGTGGGGATTTGCAAAGGGGTAGCCTCTGGTCCTTTTGTTACTTAGGCGTGAAAAGGCCTTTTGTTCCCTGCCCCCAGGCCCTATACTCCTTCCTCACTTTCATTAAGACAGGTATAGTCAGCGGGAGCTGACAGTATAGGCAGAGATTTCAGACGCATGAGTGGATACTTACAGTGCATGAGTGCTCTGGTAGGGAAGTAAGAGATTCTGGTTCCAGAATTGGAGAGTTTGACATCTGGGGGTTTGAGAAAGATTCTTAAACTGCCTTGGGAAGGAGGCTTCTTAAAATGCCTTGGGAAGGAGGAGTAAAGGAGGAAAAGGAAGGTGAGGAGGTCCAGTGGGGAAACAAGCAGAAGCATTCCCGTCAGAGGGATCAGGAAGTGATATAGGCCTAGAAGGGGGAGCTTGGGAGTGTTCCTGAACAGATGGCGCTAAGGATGGAGATGAGAAGAAATTGACATTTGAGAGGCTGGAGAGCCATATTCTAGAGTTTGGGTTGTGTGCTAAAGGCGGTTGAGAATCCTTCAAGGCAAGTGCTGCAAATTGTTTCCTACTGTAGAGATGGACTGTAGCTAATTAGAGAGAATGAAGACTGGAGGGCGGTCTTTGCCATAGGCCAAGAAAGTGTTGGCCTGAGTAGGACTGCGGCTGCTGCTTCCCATCCTCACCAGAAGAGGGGCTAATCCAGACTCGTAATTGAATTGATTGAATGGAGGGGGAGGGCGCTACAATTGCCAGCGGTCTGGGCGGGCATGGATAATGTAATTTGAAAAGCCAGAGAACCTAGGAGGGAACAATCGGTTGGAGATGCCAAGAGAAGTCATGCGTTAAACTGTGGACATGCAGAGCTAAGTGTCTTTGAGACATTAAATCGGACACGTCCTGTAGGTTATACAGGCACCGAGGGAGAAAAGCTGCTTACGAACACGGTTTTTTCTTTGCAGGTGTTTTCCTCTCTCGACCAGAAACGGTCCTGTCCTGGCGTTTCTGAAGTTTCTTCCGAATCCCACATGCCCCTCGAAGGCCCCGCGGACTCGCGCCAGCGGGCCGCCGCATGCGCAGTAGCACGACGTGCTCGGCGATGAGGAGGGGGATGAGTTTTCCGTAACCTGAAGCTACATCCTCCTGATTCCTTATTAAAGAAAAAGGCGGGAACTAGTCAAAACCCGCGGAGTGATGGGACGCTCGGAGCTGCTCGTCCCGCCCGTTTCGGCCTCTCATTGGTGAATGTCCGCGGCTCATGTCAGAGGAGCCCGCCTGATTGGCTCTCAGGCTCTAGGGGTGCAGCCCTCCAGCGCCGACCCCGCCTCCTCCAGCTGCCGACGTGGGGCGGGCAGCAGCCGGCGTTTGGGAGCCGCCGCCTCTGTGCGGAGCGGGAGGCGGGCATGGGGGGGCTGCGGCTGCTGGCAGTGGCCCTCACGTGCTGCTGGTGGCCACAGGGCAGCCAGGGTAAGACCCTGCGGGGCAGCTTCAGCAGCACCGTGGCCCAAGACGCCCAGGGCCAGCGCATCGGCCACTTCGAGTTCCACGGTAGGTCTGGGGGCGGGGAGAGGGATGAAGGCACCCTGGCCCTTCCCGCCGGCGGGGTCCGCCGGCCGCCCCTCCCCGGCTCCTCCCCGCCACGTTGGGCGAGGTCTGCGACTTCCCCAGCCTCACCTGGACCTCCAGCGTCGCCGCGGCTGCTGGGAATGGTGGGATGCGTTCCTTGCCAATCCCGCTGATGCAGCTTCCCAGCCCGAGGCAGCTCAGCGACCTCTCGCCACTAGTGATCGTGGTCAGCACGTAGAAGCCGGTTTCCATTTCTCCAGCCCTCTCCTTGCAAATGAATGTGCAAATGAGTGGTCGGCCTCATCTTTCCAGATCCTTCCCCCAAAGAAGCACGTTTGCTCCCTCCTGTCTCGGCCACACTGTGTACACTGACGTACTATAGATGCGGGAGAATTAAAGCCTAGGAACTTAAATTTCCTTTTTTTATTTTTATTTTTTGAAGACCAATTTGCTGAGACCTACGTGCAGCAGAGTGGTTTTGGAAACCAAGTAAAACACCTGATAATGTAGTTGTCATATTGAACAGTTTGGTTACATGGCCAGTAGTGCAGTAGATTTACTATAGGCGGTGAGGCCTAGAATTAAGTTGATGAAAATGCATTTAAGTAGCGTCCTGGAAGCTCCCTAATTTATATTCTGTGTGGCTCTTCTGAAATCAGAGCTGCATTTGATTCTTACCTTTTGGTCTCCCTAAAAAATCAGCAATTATTCCTTCAATAAATGAATTTGCAATTCATTCTAATTTTTGGTCTCATTTGCACCCTCACTACTACTCTAAATTTGACTAGTACTGTATTTCAATAATTATTTGCCTTGATGACATTAGGATCTTTGGTTTGTACAGTCTTTAGCATTAAAAGATGCAGCGATGAACATCAGAATATTGGCCTAGAAAATATTCCTAGGAGAAGCCAATAGAAACTAGGAGCTACTTTGGTGAGAAAAGGAATTTAAAGTATTGGGAAATTACAGAATTGATGTAATAAAGGGAGGGGGTCCTGATTTTTTTGTTGTTAAGTTTTTAAGATAGCTGAGAAAAGGAGTTTCAGCAACCCAGTTTTTCAAAATCCAATATAGAATATGTTTTGGGTGAATGAAGAAGAAACACTAGAAGCAGTTTTATTATTTTTGGTCACATTTTGAGTTTCCCAATCAATGGACTGTAATCTTACTTTGGGTATTGACAGCCACTATATTAAATGGCACAATATGGACAATGTTGGAAAATCTGGGATGTATAGAAGACATGGGTCATTACTTAGGAACAGCACAGAGACTTGGATGACCTCATAGTTCATGATGATCATCTGATAAACATGGAGGAGGAACATTTACTAAATTGAGATTTCTCAAGACAGATTGGGGATAAGGTGTTTCAAGTACATTCATTCTTTTTCATATGTATAAAATAATATATGTATATTTAGTTATTACCAATTTTCATGAATTCCAATTCAGTAAATACTGAAATAATGAACTGTAACTCAGAATGCAATTTACAGTGTTAATTGGGCCTCAGAGTCACTTTTAAGACTTCGTAATATGTAATCACTTTATGTAAGAGACTTACACATTCTTTGATATATATACTGTATATTTAAATGTATTTAAAATATTTAATCAATGTAATTACAGTAACAAAAACATAGAAAACAAATTGTCCAGGAGAACAGAAGATCTTAAAATGAAAAATGGCCTCCTGTCTTACCTCTCTCACCCAGTCCCTTTCTCTAGAGACAATAGCTTACTGCCATTTTTGTTCTGGGCCTTAAATGTAATTGGTGTGTGCAACCAGGTTCATTCTGTATTCATCTTACAACATGTGTTCTGAAAGTTCTCTTTTTAAAAAAAAAAAAAAAAATGGAAGAAGTTGGGTTCGGTGGGTGGCTCAGGCCTGTAATCCCAGCACTTTGGGAGGTCAAGGTGGGTGGACCGCGAGGTCAGGAGATTGAGACCATCTGGCTAACACAGTGAAACCTCATCTCTACTAAAAACAAAAAATTAGCTGGGCGTGGTGCCTACTGCCGATAATCCCAGTTACTCAGGAGGGTGAGGCAGGAGGATTGCTTGAACGAGGGAGGCAGAGGTTGCAGTGAGCCAAGATCGTGCCACTGCACTTCAGCCTGGGCAACGGAGCGAGATCCGTCTCAAATAAAATAAAATTAAAAGGCCATCCTGGTGAAACCTTGTCTTTCCTAAAAATGCAAAAATTAGCTAGGTGTGATGGCTCATGCCTGTAATGCTAGTTACTCTTACTTGGGAGGCTGTTGCAGGAGAACCTCTTGAACCTGGTAGGTGGAGGTTGCAGTGAGCCCAGATTGCGCTGCTGCATACTGGCGTGAGTGACAGAGTAACACTCTGTCAAAAAAAATTTTTTTTGGCTCTGTCACCCAGGCTGGAGTGCAGTGGTGTGATTGAAGCTTAGTGCAGCCTCAGACTTCCAGGCTTAAGCCATCCTCCCATCTCAGCCTCCCAAGTAGCTGAGACTACAGGTTCAGCCACCAACACTAAGCCCAGCTAATTTTTTTTTTCCAGTAGCAACAGGATCTCGCTTTGTTTCCCAGGCTGGTCTCAAACTCTTGGGCTCAAGGGATCTTCCCACCATGGCCTCCTAAAGCTCTGGGATTATGGGCGTGGCCACTGAGCCCTGACCCTGAAAGTTCTTTTGTAAAACTCAGAGATACCAAATTTTATTTTAGGTATAATATGTCTACCCTAGAACACATACATTTAAACTTTCCTGCTATTAGCTATGTTTATTTTTTATATTAAGAGTATAATTAAATATCAACACCTATGTTATATTAAAAAACAGAAACTTTGGTGGGGCATTTCTATAGGTTATGAATAAAATGTAAAACGTGTGAAGTGGTTGTTAAGTGTAGCAAAACTTTTAATACAGTGAATTGTTTGAATACCCCAGATATTGCTGTTTATTGAGTGAAATATTATCACTTAGCTGAATTACAAGGAAATACCACACATTAATTTGAATAATCTCTTGCATATGAATGTGGTGTTTATTCTGATGGGATTTACCTAGTTAAGCAAGATTTAAGAAGAATTGTGCTTCTTAAATTTCCATTTTGGTAAGTAGAGGTGTTGAGCTGTCCTCGTGTCTCAAGTTTCATGTTAAGACCGAGCTAGTTGATAATTTTTGTTTTAATGTCAAGGTGACCATGCTCTTCTGTGTGTCAGAATCAACAACATAGCAGTAGCTGTTGGAAAAGAAGCTAAACTCTACCTGTTCCAAGCTCAGGAATGGCTAAAGCTACAGGAAAGCAGTCATGGTTATAGCTGTAGTGAAAAATTATCCAAAGCTCAGTTGACAAGTGAGTATGTCCTTTTTCCTTTGATCATTAGATATAGTTTTTTTCCTCCTAATGTTGAAATATTATACATTATGTACATACCAAGATGTTTCATGATAGCATACATCCCACTGTGATGACACTTTGTCTACTACATTTTAAGCTGAGTTTCAAGGATGCCTTTTCCCTCTGTATCATTCATCATTTTCTGAAAAAAAAAGTTCCAGGTAATTTACAGAGGAATCCTTCATTCAGACTCTTTACAGTTTGCATAATTTGTGCCAATATGGAAGATAGACTCAGTGGCAGCATGAAATGAATGGTAACATTTGTTGAATGCTAATTATCTACCAGCACTGAGCTAAATGCTAAACATGTATTATCTTAGTTAATTGGATAATTTAGCTTGAGTGATGCTGTTTCACAACATGTCATTCGAACATGAGACTTAGTCATATGGTGATAGAATATGTCACTTTGAGAATATGTCACTTTGATGCCCAGGTGTAGTCACCCACATAATCCCAGCACTTTGGGAGGCCAAGGTGGGCAGATCACCTGAGGTTGGGAGTTTGAGACCAGCCTGGCCAACATGGTGAAACCCTGTGTCTAATAAAAATACAAAAAAAAAAAAAAAAAAAAAAAAAAATGGGATAGTGGCGACCACCTATAATACCAGCTATTCAAGAGGCTGAGGCATGAGAATCTCTTGAACCTGGGAGGCAGGGGTTGAGAGGAGCTGACATCCCCCCCCCGCCCCCCAGCCTAAACGACAGAGTGAGATTTTGTCTCAAAAAAAAAAAAAAAAAAAGTCCCTTTGAGATATACCAGTACCACATCATTTGTACATTTCTCAGTTTGCCTCTAGAGAGGCTGTACTTTTTAAATCTTAATCTAGGGGCTTAAATCCGCGATCCCATTCATTCTCATCAACACTGTTCCATGCATTAGGGTGTTAGCCATCCAGAGGAAGTGAAAATTTTTTAAAATACGGAAACGAAGGACATGTGCCATTTTTTCCATTTTGCATCTTGCAAGTTAATTAGTTGTAGGAGACATTAGGAATTTGAAGCATCCGTGAGGAAAAATGGGAATTATTCCTCTTCCCCTCTTTCCCCTCATTATTCAGGGACTCATCCATATATGGAACATGGTAGTCTCATCTTTTAGCCTAGTCTAGTGAAACATTCATTTCTAAACATCCATTCTTTATCTTAGCAGCTGTCTGATTCCCTTGTAAGGCAACTAGCTGGAACAGTGATAAGAGCAGAGGTCCCCACTCCTTGCCACCCATTGTGGGGATCTTTAATACAGATTTGTGAGATGACATTGTGAGAAGATAGTATCCTGAAAGATGAATGATTGGATTCAGATATCAAAGAGACAATTGCATAAAATTACTTCCACCCTGAATTCAAAACTTACCTGGGAAATGTATGCAGATTCTCATTCTCAGTTATCTCTTCCTTTCTCTGCCAATTTGCTCATCTAAGTGTTCCACATAAAATTTGCTAATCTAAGTGTTCTGCATATATGTATAAGGTCATGTCCTTCCGTTCCCAATTCCTCTAGTGTCTAACCTGAACTCACCACCTTCCCCATCCAGACCTGGTCCTCTTCCGGTGTTCCCTGTTTTAAGAGCTGGCACCACCATCCATCTAGTAAACAGTTGAGAAACAAGGGGTCTTCTAATACTCCCCTCTTTGACCTTTCTACCTCCCCCATCCATCAGTGTCTTGAGGATTTACTTCTGAATATCTCTTGAATTCATCTACTTGTCTTCCTCTCTACCCCCACTGTGTTTTTCCAAGTTGCCATAATCTCTTGCCTTTACTATCAACAGTCTCCTGCATGGCAATCCTATAGCCATGCTGGTCCCCCTTCTGTAACTAGATCTTTCTAAAGAGCAGATCTGGTTATGTTACATTCACTTTCTCACCACACCCTTAAAATAAATGGTTTCCCACTGCTCTTAGGACAAAGATAGGCTTCCTTAACCTGATCAAGCAAAGCTGTCGTAGACTGGCTGCTGCTTACCCCTCCATTTCATCTCAGGGCATTGCCCCACTCACCACTGCATTTTATTTCAGTGCCATCCTGAGCCTTGGCATAGGCTTTTGTCTTCAGCCTCCCCTCTGGCTCCTCACTTGATTAAGTTAACACCTAAGTTTTTATAGCCTCTTGCTTTCCTGCACAGTCCTTACTGTAGTTATCACTTCACATTTTATTTATTTGTTATAAAATCAGTCAATGAGAGCAGTAGGGCTCTTTGGGTGTGTTCATTCACTGAGCACTTCCATTGTTTCATGAACTATGGTAGGCACTGTTGATATAACCGTGACCAAAATGCTGACACTCTCAGTCCTTAAGACTGGTGGAGGTGACCAGAATGAAGGGGATCAATGTGAATAAATGTAAAATTGCAATTTTGATAAGTACTATGAATGCAAATTATATGGCACTATGAGAATGAGAATTTATGATACCTTGGTGAATAGTTAAGTTTTTACTAAGTATTTGTGGAATGAATAGTCATAGACCTTGATGCTTAAGGGCTTTTTGTTTGGTAGGTTGTTTGCTTTTTGTGTTTGGCGTCTCAAAGACTGTTTCTGTTTCCAATAAAAACTAAGCAGTTTAAAGCTTTGAGCTATAGGAATATTGATTTGTTCTCTTATGTAGTATTATATATACTTAAAAACATCATTTTTGTGTCAGTCATATTCCTGTATTCCCAGAACTTCTGTATACAGGGAGACAGTAAGGTGCAATGGGAAGACCATAAAACTGAGAATCATGCTAATGATTTATAACAATAATGTGTTATCTTTGAACCTCATTTTACTTATCTGTACAACAAGCAAGTTAGACTAGGTTTCCCTAAGGTTCATGATAGTTCCATAATACTGCCATTCTTATTCTAACTCTTAAGGATGGAGTTACTTATGTGTAGGACTACAACTTAACAAAACCTTCTGCTATTGTTTCTTTTTCTATTTTCTCTTTCTTTTCTATGTTCTGTTGAGTGCGGAGGTATTTTTTAAAATTGTGGAATGAAAGATATCAGGAAACAGGAATTTGGGAGTAGTGAAGGTTTTTTTGTCAAATTTTGGGGCCTAAAATAAATTTAGTACTGATTTCTATATATATTCTATATATTTCACCAGTTTTTTTTTTCCAATAACAAAATCCAAATCTTAAGTCTCTGACTTTTATATATTAGTTGTCACATTTATAATATGTTTTCTGGAAGCTTAGATACATTTAAACAAAAGGCATATCTTTAAATTCATGACAATGTAATAGTAACACATATTTAAGAATAATTCCTTATAGCAAGTGCTTTTCCTAGTTGTTAATAAGACTTAATAGCCTTTCACCTATTTGGTAGCTCGGTGACTATGTCCAGCTCCTACGTAAAACCCTGCTGCTGCTGTGTCCTATGAAAAGACCAGCAGATTTTAAAAATCTCACTGGTGAATGTTGCTTGACTCTCCCAAATTAATGTTTGAGAAATTATTTTTCAGTCATCTCTTTGTTCTGTCATAAAAATCTGACTTAAAAAATACTAAAAACTATTTTGTAGATTTTTAAAGCAAGCCAACAAGGCATTTAAAAGCACTGAAAATGATGAGTTTATGTATTTCTATCTAAAATCTAAAATGGAGATTCAGAGGAATTTTCTATCAGATTACAGGAGCTAAATATAATATTGTATATAAAACATTTCAGTGTTCTTTTTACATGTTATGCATATGATTCCTTTTGTAGTTTGGTATATTTTTAAAATCATTTAAAGGTGTTAGTATTTTAGTGTGTGTTTTGGTTAGCAGTATTCATTTCCTTTTATAATATGATTGGACAATTAGCTATTCAACACCATTCTCTGCAGTTCAAGTTTTGTTAATATTTGAGGTACTAATTACACCAGCATAGAATATGCATGCTGTGCTGTAGTCTTTTGTCTCGGAAACAATGAACACACAGTTTTGTCAAGAGGCTTGTTTCCCAGGCTTGCTGAAAAGAGAGCAAGACAAAAACTAAAGGCTGGTATCACTTTATGAAGCACACTTTTATTTCTGTTTGAAGTAAATCCACATAATTTAAAATGAAACATCAAAAGTATATTGGTAGAAGTGTGGTTTTTTATATTATTTTATCTAAGAGAAAAAGTACAAATGATAAAAACAGTGACACAGCAGAGCCTTTATATAATGATGTCTGGATTATATAATTGCAAATTGCACATTTAAACAGTCTTTTTTCTGAATCATTTATTGAGCATATATTAAATTCTTATTAAAAGACTTCAAATATTTAACAGAAACTAGAGTCTTTGCTACATTTTTCCAGAAGCTGTGTGGTTAAAAAAAAAAGTAGTTTAAATGTCAGCTAACTTACAGTAGACAAAAAAGCAATGCTATGGTTGTATTAATCAGATCCTCCTGTCCAGTTTAACTACCAATGAAGGAAATTCCCATTTGTACTGTCCAAGTCCTCACAATTCAATCCTACCTACATGTGTATCTCATTCATAAAGACAATCTATAAATAACATTTTCCCAACTTTCTACTAGGAAAACTTCCCAACATACAGAGGAGTTGAAATTATAGTACAATCAGCATCTGATATCCTCTGGTTAGACTGAATAATTATTAATATTTTGTTAAATTTGCTTTATGTTTATATGTATGTGATTTTTGTTTTAATTGAACCATATGAAAATAAGTAGCAGGTATCACGAACAGTTTGCCCCTCCATGCCTAAGCATACATCTTCTAAGAGTAAGGACATTCATCTGTTTAACTGTCATACCCTAAGAAAATGAATAATTTTATAATGTCCTCTGAAGTCTATTCCATACATAAATTTCTGGTTACCTCAAGAAATGTCTTTTATTTATTTTAAAATTTTTTTCTACAATTGAGAAAAAGATTAAGACTAATTTGTCCTTAAATATTGACATGTTATGGGGGCAACCTGGAGTTGCGGATTAGAGCCGTCATAATACTGTTTTAAAAATACTTTGTTTAGAATCATGCTTTTTACCTAACATTCCATATACTTTTCATTTGACCCTCACACAAATTCTGAGCTAGACAGGGCAAATATCTTTATTTTACTGTTGAAGAAACACATTTAGAGAGGTTATTTATTTGGTCATTTATTTGCTGAGTCACAAGGCCAAGACTTGCCCTTCTAACTGTACTACTCTTTGTTATACTCAAAACTTGAGACACTCCTCCTCTAGGCAGCTTTGTGTTAGTGTTGGTCAGTGCCTCTTAGGTCAGGTTATATTCAGAAACCACAATTACTTTTGCACCAACCTAATAGTTTTAGATCCAGAAGGAATCTTAGATGTCATTTTGTGTTTCTCAGAAGGGAGTGCCTTTGGCATTTTAGGGGGAATAATTCTTTCCATGAGGTTGAACACAGCCCCCCTCCAAGTATAACCAGCTAATGTGACAAAAAATTGTCCCCTCACATTTTCAAATGCCCTGGAGGGAAGGAGATTACCCTGGATTGAGAATCATTTATTAGCATAACTATATTGTTTTAAAGAAAGGAAAAGCAGAATTGACATTTAGCAACTACGCTGTGACAGATACCATGCTAGGTGACATATAACTTAGTCCTTATATCAAGTCTTTGCTGTAGGTAGTATCTTCATTTACAGATGAAGAAAGTAAGGGCCATTGTTTATGTAACTTACCCAAGGTCACATAACAGTTAAGTATTGAAGCCAGGATTCAAACATACATCTGAATGATGTCACACACCCCCACCCCTGACTATATCATACTACTTCAAAAGATTTTAGAAAATCTTTTGAAAATATTAGCCATAGTTTTTAGATATAATGATTTCCTAAGTTGAATGCCCCATTTAAAATTTAACTCAAGTAATTTTCAAAAATGTCACTGTGATTGTTGCATAGCTTTGTGAATGTTCTTAATGCCATAGACAATACTTAAAAATGGTTAAAATGGTACATTTAGAAAGAAGTACAAAAATATCAACAGATTGTTTTGATACTCTGGGTGGTAGAGTTGTATAGTTTTGTGTATAGTTTACCACAATAATTTTTTTGAATGTCATTAACCCACTTGGAAACTTTGAAAATATTGAAAATTAAAATTCAAAGTTTTGCCTGCCGAGACCAGGATGGCCCCAGGGTTCGGCACCTTCCTCAAGAATGCCTGGGCCAAGGAGCCAGTGCTGGTCATGTGCTTCGCCATTGGGAGCCTTGCTGTAATTCTGCTGCCACTTAGCCCCTACACCAAGTACTCCATCATGATCAGTGAGGCCTCGACCTACAACTAACAGTGCCTGTCACGATGATGGGAACATGCCCAGCATGCCCGGCCACCCCCAGGACCCCCAGGGCTCCAGCTTGGAGTGGCTGAAGAAACTGTGAGCACTTCCAGTGACAGGCGGCCCCTCCCATGGCTCCCAATAAAAATGTGAAAACAAAACAAAACAAAATTTCAAAGTTTCAGTGAGGCCATTCTACTCACTTGTGCTTTATAGTCTTACTTTTATAGTGATTCCTTAGCAAAAAACATCATTTTTATCTCCTTTGCAGATAAATTCTGATTTATTCCATAAATATCTGATTTTTAAGACTGATTCCAAATACTACACAAGGTCTTGGATTTCTGAGGTAGTAAAAACTAAACCAAAGATTGTCCTAACCTCAAATTGATTATATGACTCAAACAACACATTTGAGAGTTTTGTTATGATAGGTGTTGTTTTCTTTCTCTTTAAAGTGACCATGAACCAGACTGAACATAATCTGACAGTGTCCCAGATTCCATCTCCGCAAACATGGCATGTGTTTTATGCAGACAAGTATACGTGCCAAGATGACAAGGAGAACTCTCAGGTGGAAGATATCCCATTTGAAATGGTGTTACTAAACCCAGATGCTGAAGGGAATCCATTTGATCATTTTAGTGCTGGAGAATCCGGTAAGAATATGTATTTGACTATATCATAAATTTAGGAGATGATTTATGCACAAACATATTCATGTTGTATTTTTAAAATAAAGCAACCTATATGTGCAAAAGTAGAGAAGTGGTTAAATGAATCTTACAGCATTTTGATAGCCATAATATTAGTTTTTAAAAGCAGAGTATTATTTGAGTGTATTAAAACCTGCATAGAATAAAACAGAAGTACAAAAATATTAACAGATTGTTTTGATACTCTGGGTGGATAGAGTTGTATAGTTTTGTTTGTTTGTTTGCTTGTTTGTTTTGGCTCCTAGCAGGAAACAAGTTGTGTAGTTTTTAGTTTCTTCTATACATTCTAAATATTTTTGTTTTTATGATAACCTTGCATTATTTTTGTAAACAGAAAAATGGTAATAAATTGAACAATTTAAATTGATAACTCAATGATTAAATGAGATTAGAAACTGAACTACGTTGTATGGTTAACTCTTTACTAGGTTGTTTGAACAAATTTAGGGATTGCCTTCGTTGAAGCTTACAACAATTCAGGAATGATCGGAGTCTATAATACTTCCCAGAATCATTTACTCATGTAAAATATTTCATCAAAATGTTGGATGACTGTCCTTTCCTACTGAAGTAAGATTCCTAGCCCCAGCAGAAGTGAATGACTTCTTATGATCATGATAAGCATGCTATGAAGTATAACTGATTTGTAAATGAACATGTTGGAATAAGGATTTGTAGGCCATCTGTCAAAAAAAAGGGTTAAGGGTTTACCTCTTCCTGAGTTCATTGACTGTTTGAAAGAGTCAATCTACTCAAGAGAAAAATTTAATTCCATTGTATCCCACTGGCCATAGAATGGGGTGGGTGGAGGTGAGGCGGGAGTGAGGCCACTTTAGCTTAAACCGATTGTTTAGTTCAGAGCGTAAATTTGTCACATCTAGTTTAAGGTTATGAGGTTTAAAACAAAAATTCAGATATTCACACCCAGAGACTCAAGATAAATTTGGTTTGGAGTGGAAGCCAGCTAATGAAAGCTTTAAAACTGATTCGTACGTACAGAACACTGATCTAAAAGTCCATATTTCACATTGTTATAGTAGTGTGTTCTAAAATAGAGCCTTGAGGGATTCTTTCTACTCTGTAGCCTCAGGTATGGTATTTGTTTACAGGGGAAATCTTCAATTCATTTTAGAAACTTCTGCTAGTTTGTCTAATTATCTGCTCCAAGTAGGAAAAATTGATTTGCTATGCTTTTTACAGAGAATTGACTATTACCACGTCTCAGAGGTTTGAATTAGAATAACCTGGTGCAAATAGCTGCAATTAATGTTACATGTTATTCTGGTTAAATTTTGTAATTTGTTTTCTTTCAAACCAATTGTGTATTTTATATCTACCAGACTTTGGTTTATCCTCTATTTTACAGAGTTGGTCTAGATTAAACAAAGTAAGGCAAGTGTGATGCCACTTGACAAAGTACTAAATAGAATTATAATACTTTAAGGTAAAATAAAACTCCCTTTTTAAGATTAGAATCCTTGTTAACTATGGTTGTACTCAAGTTAGAGACCAAGAAGTACCTAGAATCCTGAGAGCGTTATTACCTAAAGACATGTAGACTGCTTTTCACTGGAATATTACAGGCTCTGCCACATCTGCCATCTCACTGTTTTTAAGATTCCAGAAGCTATGTTCATTATTTTTTTCTTTTTCTTTAACTTTCACTACCCAATTCAAAGGGAACTGTGTTTATTCTTTAGTGCTATCCCTTTTACCCTCCATGCCCCAAAAGACAGTGGGTTGGAGCTTCCATTTAGCTTCAGTAATATGTTCCTGGTAACATGTTTGAATGTTTTTGGCTTAAAGTAACAGAGAACCCTAATGCAAGTGGTGTAGACAGTAATGAAATGAATTGTCTTACACCACAAGAAGTTTTGAGGCTTCTGCAGGGTGGTTTATTTAGCATCTCTCTACCCTGCTATCCTCAGACTATTAATGTTGTCCGTAAGCTAGCTTCCTCAAGTTCAAAGTTAGCCTTGGCAGTTCTGAGCATCATGTTTAGATGATGGCAAAATTCAGTATCTCTTGGGGAGGAAGCAAATCTTTCCCAGAAGTTTCCTATCACATTTCCTTTTTCAGATCTGGGTCATAGCATCATAAGAGAAATGTAAGTTGACATGGAAGAAAGAAGATAAAAGTAGACAAATCTGTCAAAAGGGTTAGATTTACCTCCTACTGGCGAGGGTATGAGAATTTCCGATTGATTTAGACTAATCAGGATGTATCTTGAGACACTTGAGTGTGGGGGACCACTGGGGCTCTGAGATAAGGTAGGCGGGAATGTCTGTTCCAGGTGCTATCCGGGAACCCAAGGACTGTTTCCTCTCACCCTCTCCTCCTTTCTCATTTACCATCGTTTAGCTGGGACTGAATTTACTGAAGCTGTCCACTGAGTTTTCTTGCTACTTTATTTTGCCAATGCTGCTTCCTTTAAGCTTGCCTTAAACCTTACACATTTTCTTACAAGTTTTCATCACCTGTTGTATGCTCATTAAGAGTATTTTTCTTCTTCACTGTATATTTTTTCGGTGTATATTGTCTTAAATATAAGATTTAACAATTAATTGTTCATTTAGTTAACAATTAGTTAATTTAACCACCTGTTTTAAAATTAGACTTTAATTTCAAAGTGAACAAAAGCAAAGTGAACACAAAGTGAGTTTAATTTCAAAGTGAACAACTTTTGCTTGTGGCAAATAAAGTTGGTAGCTGATGATCGAAAAAATAGACTTTTTTAAGAGATGACTTGTTTAAAAGATCATTGAGTACAGAGCTAGCATTTTATCTTTTTAGCATTTTATGAACAGGTTAAAGGTAAGAATCATCTAAAATTCAGTGAATAAAGTGTAGGACATGTCCCAGTTCAATTTATTTAATATGTCAATGAAATAATTTTTACGTTGGTTATAATGTTAGCTTTTTCTGGAAGATTAACTTTGAATAATCCTAAAACATTTTTTTGCTTGTGACATTCATCTTATTTTCCAGAATCCTTTCCTTCTACATTGTTCTGATTCCTCAGTATGTAGTCTGAGGATTTTCAGAATTGTAACTTAATGTCAGAAACTTTATCCTATAAGTCAGAAATTTTGTCTTATAAAATATTCTGTAAAATATTATAAATAAATAGAACTTTAAATTGAATGCCATGTTTATTTCTTTAATACTAAGAAGGAAAGATAAAAACCAAGGTTTGAAACACAGGATAGCATAAGGAACTTTGCTCACCCACAGTTACATTATATTTAGCATTTGTATTTTCTGTCTTGTTTCATTACTATAGTAATCCGAGGATTATGTTGTCATCATTTCTAAGGCTGGAGTGCTTTTCTATGTAAGGAGTTTATAAAGAAAATATGTTCTTTCTTTTACTTGATCTTCACTTCCTGAAGTCTAAACATGCTCTTTCACCTGCACTAGAAAAGTTAACTGTCCACATTTATATTCGTAGAGCAGGAGAGACACCCAGTGGCAGAAATATTTTCTACTGCTTTTTTCCCCCCAACCAGGCCAAAACATGATTGAACTATTGATTGATTGTTGTGATTTGTGTCTTCTGATTGCTTTTCCAAAATCATTTTCCACATAATAGAAATATTTTCTTATCTGACTGTTAATTGGAGTTTACCCAAATGGGAAACTAGAGTAGGCTTTGTGTTCTCAATTGGAATGAAAGTTCATCCACAGACTCAAGACGGCTCTATTCATACCACTGTTAGAGCAGTTTGGTGTTAGATAGAAAGTAAAAACCTTAATATTAGGGACTGGCTTCACATGTAACCAAGTCAGTGTTAGCCATTAAACTCAAAGCTAGCCTGCTGCTTCACTATAAAAACTTTCTGAAATTTCTGAAAAATGGAGACTCAGTCAAAAGGTTTCAAGTTAGCAGAAGAAGTGACATTTATCTTGAGGTTACATGAAAACTGGACTAAAAAGCTGCTAGCAGGGACTAGAGGCTGCTGTAATGACTGGTTCCATTTTTAATATAAAGTCTGCACATTCTTTGTTCTTTGCCAGCCATCTCTCTTTCCTCACTTGTAATTTCTACTCCCTCAGAACTTTGATTTTTATCATGGCTCATTTGGCTCCTCTGGCCTGTCCTGACATCAGCTCTCAGCTCCTTTCAACTTCAATTTCTATGGCCTCTTTGATTTCCGTGTTATAGTTTGATGTACTAAGAGAAGTGATTAGCTTAACTTAGCTTGCAGAATTGTTATGTTGCTGGCCTCTTGCATTGGTAGCCATTTGGTTAGGTGTTGACAATTTTCAGTCATGTGATCTCCTTAGTGCGGGTTTTTGTTATTGTTTCTATTTTGGCAAGAGCTGCAGACAGTTTATCTCAGAAGGGGTCTCTGGACATGACAGGTATTTTGAAGATTTGTCCAAATGGAAATTCAAGGTATTGGGACATTCTAGAGCTGTGGTCCTCACATGTTAGCTATATCAGAATCACCCTTAGGGCTTACTAAAGCACAGATTACTGGGCTGTACTCAAGAGTCTCTGATTCAATAGATCAAAAACTGGATGGAACTCAAGATTTTGCATTTATAACAAGTTCCCTGGTGATGCTGCTGGGCAAGAGAACACACTTTGAGAAGCATTGTCAGGGTATATTAAACTATTATTGACTGTGAACTATTTCTAAACTTTTTACAAAAGAAATTCATTTGGGGGGTGAACTGTATACCTAACTGAATGCTGAAATCATTATTTTCATTTACTGTTTTCAAACAAAACTGTGATTTTATGAGTGGTCTTTGGGTTTCCATGACCATTATGCTTTCTTACAGATTGACCTTAACTAGTTTGGTTTCATCTGCTTTCTTGTAGTTAAAATTTTGCCCCAAGGTACAACATTGTTTAAGTTTTAATAATTTTTTTTCTCTTACAAAGGTGAATGCTATGACTCCAGTTAAAAAATGCGATGACTCCAGTTATAAAACAAGTTCTAGAAATATATTGACAGGGAGATTTGAAAGCAACCCAATATGATAACTGGCTTTGTTTTACTGAAGCAAACTCCCTTTCTTCTCTTCACAGGGTTACATGAGTTCTTTTTCCTCCTAGTCCTAGTGTACTTTGTGATTGCTTGCATTTATGCTCAATCATTGTGGCAGGCTATTAAGAAAGGAGGACCCATGCACATGATTTTAAAGGTTCTGACAACTGCATTGCTGTTACAAGCTGGTTCAGCTTTAGCTAATTACATTCATTTCTCCAGGTAACTCAAAACCACTAAAACTGTGTTCATCATTACATCTAATTAATCCTAATTAGTCCACCAAAATTATGCTTGCTTTGATTGTGAACAATTTTTTTCACATTTGTAATTTATGCTAATCTTCTTCAATTCCTCAGTTACTCCAGAGATGGAATAGGGGTACCATTTATGGGAAGTTTGGCAGAATGTGAGTATCTTTCTGAACATTTTTTTTAAAAGCATGCACTTGCTGTCTGCTTGGTTTTTAAAATTTTTTTGTGATAGTATAAATTTTCTGTCGAAGATTGATTAGAAACCAGATTGACTGAGAACAGGATTACAATTTAAATTTCCATATGTCCTACTTAGTTTCTTCTTAATAGTGGGTAATATGTACAGCTCCTCATTGTTTTTTGTTTGTTTGAGACAGAATCTTACCCTGTAGCCCAGGCTGGAGTGCAGTGCTCCTAGGCTCAGGTGATCTCTCCTGCCACAGCCTCCCCAGTAGCTGGGACCATAGGCACATACCACCATGCCTGGCTAATTTTTAAATTTCTTTTTCTGTAGATGAGGGTCTCACTGTGTTGTCCAGGCTGGTCTCATACTCTTGGGCTCAAGGGATCCACCTGCCCTGGCCTCCCAAAGTCCTGGAATTACATGAGTCTCCACACTTTGCCTCTTCGTTGGTTTTAGGCATATTTATGTGTATTCTCTCACCTTATCCTCAGTAGAAAAGTAGGTCTGCATAGCCTTATTTTGCAGATAAAAGATTTGGGCTCAGTGATATGAAACATATTTCCAAATGTCCATCAGTTATTTAGTGGTAGAGACTAGACTCAGACCCACATTTTCTTACCTCAAAGCTGAAGGTTTTCTTCCTATTAAAATCCCATTCTCTGTTATACTGACTCTTCTATTTCTGACCCAAAGCCTAAAACTCACATCAAGATACTCTGTGAAGAAAAGTGATAAGCTTTCTTAAAAAGCATTAAATACTACCTCATAAAATAAGTATATATGAAACTTGAAGCATTTATGGATTTTTGTTGTTTTCTTGTAGTGTTGACCTGGATACAGGTGGTTTGGGTGCATCTTTTCTGTTTGAAGCGACATGCTTCCCCTGCAGTGTAGGTGATGGCCACCTGGTGGCACATCACACTAATGCATGGAGCTTTTCATTTGTCTTCAGGATTCTGAAAGGAAAGCCAGTGTTTGGATGTTATGGAAACTTTGCATTTCGTTGTGTTGTTTCTTGTTAATAGTTTTAGAAAACACTCTTCACATTATCATTCACCCATCAAAAAAAAAAGTTAACCCAGAAATGAAGGTACTCATGTTCTCCACATTGCAGAAATCATATTTAGAATTTTTTGTTTTAATAAGCAATGAGTTATAGAGAACAGGATTATGTAGTTAGAAAAGCTAAGAAAAATGGAAAACAATGAGAGTTAAGGTTGACTTAATAGACATGGTATGGGCTTATATATGTATTTTTATTTTTTATTTTTTCTTTCATGCTGGATAGCTGCCAAATATATATGTATTTTTAAATAGTATTGCTGCTAACTATTCTCATAAATGTATACAAAATGTATGGCAATTTTTAATTCTTTAGAATTATTACACACAAGTACTAAATTTTTTATATTGTGAAAACTTGGCTGACGTTGGTTTTCGTGTCCCATTAGTTTTTGACATCGCTTCCCAAATTCAGATGTTATACCTACTTTTGAGTCTATGCATGGGTTGGACAATAGTCAGAATGAAGAAGTCTCAAAGCAGACCTCTTCAGTGGGATTCTACTCCTGCGTCCACTGGAATTGCAGTATTCATTGTCATGACACAGGTGAGTGTTGATACTCAGTGTTTCTGCTTAGTTATCCTCAGAAATGCAAACTTGAGCATACCTCATTTCAAAATTGAAACCTGGGACTCATGAGGAATTTGTGTCATTTTAAAGTATGAATTTAAAGAGTGATAGATCAAATAAGCTTAATCATCTGGGTGTTACTATATGTAGATTGCAGAATTTAATTATAATTTACCTGAATTTGAGCTTCCTTATTTAAGCACAGTATGTTTAATACTAGGTTGGAGTCTTATTTCCTACTTAATAATGGCTTTCTTTCATATTTCTCTAGCACATGGTAAGTACTTAACATTGAATGAGTGATTCAATGAATTTGAGATTTATCCATTGTCAAGAATCTTTAGGATTGGCTACTTTGTACATAAAAGAATTCAGGTGATTAGCTAAGATTAATTAAAAGGCAAAATATAGACTAAAAAAGAATGAGATCTTGTTTTTGAAAGCATGTATGAAAACAAATACAAAAACAAAACCAATCTTTTACGAAGGTCCTGTATGCCTTTTTTTCTTTTCCTCTATATTGATAGTACTGACATGCTAGAATATCCATATGCCTATGTTCAATGGATTTGTAAAAACTAAGAAGAAAGGTTTAAAGATAAAAATTTATACTGAGTTTTTGATGACCATTAGCTATAGGTGAAAATGAAATATATACTTGGGCTCTGTAAAGGGGCATCATAATGTAAGTTTAATGCATTAAATAAGTTGAAAAAATATATTAATGAAGGATGGACCAGTACTTTATTCATCTTTCTATCCCTAGTATTTATTTAGTACAGTAGGTTTTGAGTGGAATAGCAGTATTGAATTTACATGAGTCATTTGAGAAAGAGACCATATCACAGTTGGTGATATTTAGAAAGGAGGTAGTGCCAGTAAAGGGGCTGATGAGACATAATTGAATTAGTAGCATTGATTAAAATAAGGTTAAGATTCTACCAACTTAATGTTTTTGAGCCGGGATTTACGGAGAGTAGTGTCAATGTCAGGGTAAATTCTCACTTTCCATTTCTTTTTAAAAATTTTATTTTTATCATTGTAATTTTAATTTACTGTCAGACAAATATGAATCGATAATTGAGATGATATTATACTAGAGTTTATGTGAGCATTTATGAAGAATACATTAAGCATAGCTTTGATCTTCAACAACAACCCAGACAAGGCAGATCAGACAGGCAGAGACTATATAAATACATGCATATTTTATACAGATCACATATTAGCATATGTATATGAAAACAGGGAAGTTTAAATATGTAAAAATATGAACCATGGGCTATGGTAGCTCTCTAGTAGCATTTCTGTGTTGCAAAAGTAAAGTTTAGAAATGTAGGTTAAGAAATCAGATGGGAGGCCTGGCACAGTGGCTCATGCCCATAATCCCAGCCCTTTGGGAGATTGAGGTGGGCGGGTCACCTGAGGTCAGGAGTTCAAGACCAGCCTGGCCAACATGATGAAACCCCATCTCTACTAAAAATACAATAATTAGCCAGGCCTGGTGGCTCGTGCCTATAATCTCAGCTACTCGGGAGGCTGAGGCAGGATAATCACTTGAACTTGGAAGGTAGAGGTTGCAGTGAGCTGAGATTGTGCCACTGCACTCCAGCCGGGGCAACAAAGTAAGACTTTGTCTCAAAAAAAAAAAAAAAAAAAAAAGAAAAAGAAATCAGATGGGTATAATTTGGTGGTTTGGAGGAATAAAACTTTCAGTAACAGAGCAAATATTGAGCCCAAGAAGGAATTTCACATGTCATAGTGACAAAGGAGTTTACCTAACAAGAATGGTATCAGGATTAAAATTAGGGTAGAGGATGTGAGAATGAGGAAAGGAAGAAGTTGCTGGTAAACCCCATAAAACCTAATAATTGGATTTAATACTGAGTTTTGATCTCTTCCAAAAGTTCTTGGAAGTCACCGAAGACTCAATTCTGAGAGCTGAATTGACAAAGGAAAGAAGTGCAGAGAGCTACAGATATGTGTCGTAGTGGTTAAAACATTAAAGTAAGTTAAGTGATTGATGTTTAGTAAAGATGGAGGGAACATAGATGCTGATTTCTATTGAATAGTAATAAACAGAATAGCTTAATGAGGAACTAGCTGAGCTTTTACTGTTGGCAATATGGGAGAAAAGAAGGTCAATAAAAAGTGGTGAGTAACAGTGCCCTGAGGATTTATAGTGAATATTAAAAATATGTTGTCCTTTACCAAGGGAGGTTACTGTGAAAACTAATAAAGTCTGAAATAAACAATTCTGACTTTTTAATTTCTGAATTATACAAAAAACACTGAAATATTTGAAAGTTACCCTGAGGTAGCCGGTTTGAATGCACAACGGTTTACATTCAATGATGGTGTTGAAGTAAGAAGGAAATGGATTTAGAAGAAAGTATGTTCTTTTAACTTTTTCAGCTCATTTTCATTCTTAGAGATAACTTATTTGAATCATGACAGCAATTGAATTTTTTAAAAATCTTTTAACTATGGTCTCACTTGATAAAAATTCGTTTTGACTAGCTTAGGTATTAGAGTGATGAAAAGACTGTACTTTATTAATTAACCTCTATGGTCTGATAGAAATGTTTATATAATATTTCAAGGGATGTTTATCAAAGAGTTGAAAAAAAGTACTTCATTGTAATTAGGTATGTTTTTTTTTTTCCTAAATGTAATTTTTTTTTTTCCAGAGTATTTTGCTACTTTGGGAACAGTTTGAAGATACCAGTCATCATAGCTACCATTCACACCACAACTTAGCAGGGATCCTCCTAATCATTCTAAGAATTTGCCTAGCATTGTCATTAGGCTGTGGACTCTATCAGATCATCACAGTGGAGAGAAGTACGCTCAAAAGGGAGTTCTACATCACATTCGCCAAAGTATGGGTTTGGAAAGAAAATGGTTTCTTCCGATTATCCTACTTTATTCTGGTTTCTTTGGGAAGTTGCTAAACAACCACATGCTAACTTTTATTAAACTTCTGGGCCAGGCACAGTGGCTCACGCCTGTAATCCCAGCGCATTGGGAGGCCAAGACAAGTGGAACTCTTGAGCCCCCAAAATGGAAACCACCCTAGGCAACATAGTGAGACCCCATCTCTACAGAAAATTAGCCGGGCTTTGTGGTGAGCACCTGTTGTCTCAGCTACTTGAGAGGCTGAGGTGGGAGGATCCCTTGAACCTGGGAGTTGAAGGCTTCAGTGAGCCAAGATTGCACTACTGCACTCCAGCCTGGGTGACAGGCGAGACCTTGTTTAAAAAAAAAGGAAAAAAAAATTTTGTTATGTGACAGTCAGATGCTACCTTAGGTTCTTTATATGGTTCACCTCATTTAACCTTAGCAACTTTCGTGATATAGATATAATCCCCATTTTACAAGACCTGTGAAACAATATTTTCCATATACCCTTTGGCAGGTCAGTTTTACTTGGTTCATAGCTTCTTTATCAGTAGGGATTTTATATTTTTTTCTGTAATATCAATTTTAAATATCTAAAATAAATTCAGATGTGGTTTGGATTTCTTAACAGTTTAAATTGACTATAAACTGTTTTTCTCAGAGTTATGCAATGTTTTCTAACAGACTATTAGGAGCTGTCCTTCAGCATAAGCAGATGGAGCCAGGAGGCTGAGTCCATGTGTTTCAGCCACCTCACCCCATCCACATGAGGTCATGTCACTTTATTCCTTCTTTCTTGTCCTTCTTATGCTAGTGAGATCTAAAAGCAAGTTCAGTTTTTTTCTATACCTGTTTAGTAACAGAAGAGATTAGGAGGGTTAGAGCAGTAACATTATAGAAGCCTCCCTCCCTAAAAGATTTCATTTTTCTGTCAGATTGAGAGAATCCATACCCCTTCATTTTAGCACCTCAAACCAGCTTTCTGATCAGACTGATTCTGTTCAGTGAGCCCACCTTGTCCAGAGTCATTGACCATTACTCTGAGGCAGCTATGGAAGGAGAGCCAAATTCCTGCTTTATTCCTAGTGTTGAGTGTTAGAAAGCTGCTGCCACTGTCCTAGGAACCAACTTCAGGCCTCTGAGCACCAGACAAGAAGATGCCATGCTGCCTTTGAGTTTTTCACAGGCACAGTAGTGCTTATTGTTTGATAATATGTATTTGAGGTGTTTAGGCACTATGTTTTCTTATTCTGCTTTATGTTTAAAGCAGTGCAAACTTTTTCTTCAACTTAAAGTATTTTATATTTCACTTTAACTTCCTGAATAGGGTCAAACATCCAAAAGTATTTAAGGAGTAGCAGCAAGTTATTCTCACCTCCTCAGACAGTTGCTGCTAGTAGTTCTTAATTTATCTTTCTGGAGAGTTTTAAGTATATATGCCTATGTTACAAATGTAATATACAAATGTATGTTACAAATAGTAACATACTAAACATTTTTCTATATCTTTCTCTCTATATCTTCAATGTACCAAACATTTCAACAGTTACTATTTATTAACTTCTTTTTTTTTTTCAAATTTAAGTTTGGAAAAGAGAATACATTGCCATGGTTTAAGGAAAAATAGAAAAATATTTGAAAAGTGTAATGTGAGCAGTTACCCATTCTTACCTGCCCAGTTCCCTTCCCCTTCCTCTGTTGTACTCCTCAAACAAGTAACCACTATTAGTGTTTTTTACGTATTATTACAGGATTTCTTTGTGTATCAGCATGCAAATATGAATTTACATTCTTTTTTCTTTTTACAGGAATATTACACACTTGTGCCTTGCTTTTGTCACTTCATAATTTGTTACTTATATTAATATATTTGTAGTGTATCAAAATGTGTATGCAACAGATTTATAAACATAAGATTATAAATACTCCAAAAATACTCATTTGGTTAGAAACAAAAAATGTCACAGCAGCAGTAAATTTATTTCTACATTTTTTTGCAAGCTCTACTCTAAAGGCCTGTTGAGGTTAATCATGACCTAAATATGCTAGTCACATTTTTTTATCTGGTACATTCTGAAAAAAATAAAATACATACATGTACTTATTTCACTTTTCCATTTGTTTCAGGGCTGTATCTTGTGGTTTTTATGCCATCCAGTTCTTGCATGCATTTCTGTCATTTTTAGTGACTACCAAAGGGACAAGGTAAGGAATTTACATGATCAAAGTAGTTTTTAATGAAAATATAGTCTTAATTGGGAGAATATTTGAATAGTAGGAAGCTATTTATTTTTTAGACGTTTTCTGTGTTGTTTAAAACTTTGAAACAAAATAGTAAACCAGCAAGTATATAAATTAGAAGTTTAAAATATTTTTAAAATACTTATAAGCCAAATGGTGGAAATAGCTTTTCTTGATTCTATTTCAGCTCATTTTAGAAATTAAAATAGAGAATTTTAAAATAGAAATTTTGTTTTATCTAGTTGCTTTAAGAGACTACAAACAAGAGTGCCTTCCTCAAGTATGACGAATTTTGGTTGTGCTGATACCTACCTTCTTAGGTGAATGGCTCCATCATTTCAAAATAGAAGTCTGCCAGGACCCCTTTTACAAGCAATGCAGTATATGTTTGAATGCACAAATGTTTATTGAGCCTAGGTATTTACAAAGAGTGAATAGACAGGACAGTAGTCTACAAAAATAGAGAAGCAACTTGAGAATTTTTGAAAGGGCTTCTAGAGTACTCTTTAAAGTTTAGGTAGGAGCATGCTTTATTCCTACTAATAAATTAGCTAGGAACCTGATTTTTCTCATTTACTGAAACTCTTGTTTGTAGTGCTCACCCTTAGGAGCAAATGGTTTAGCAAGTTATTCTTTTGTGCCTTACCTTGTTATCTACAAATTAAGCGTTAAAGGGATTTTTATGCTTAAACAATAAGAGTTATGAGCATTAGTCAGAAAACTTTTTTGATAAAATGTATCTATGGTAAAGATGAAGGATAGAGTATTGCATTTATATAAAAAGTTTATATAGATTCATGATAAATTGAATATTATTTCTCTGTTTCTGCATGCAATAAAAGCATTTCTTTCCTTTTCTTTTCAGGTTATTACAATAGGCGTTATCCTTTGCCAGTCCGTTTCCATGGTTATTCTCTACAGACTCTTTCTATCTCACAGTCTATACTGGGAAGTTTCTTCCCTTTCCTCAGTAACACTACCACTGACCATATCATCTGGACACAAAAGTCGCCCTCATTTCTGATACTTGATTTTTGTTGAGAGGAAAAGTGAATTGGTTAAAATTTTGAGTGCAATAAGGATCCAAATACAGTGACTTTTTGTCATACATTTGGTGTGAAAACTTGAACAGCGAAAGCAGAGCATGTTATTTATATAACTGCATTTAAGCAGTACCAAAACTGAAAAAAAAGGTAATAAATGAAATGTTCTGAAATGTACTTAAACAGACTTTGAAGAAAGTGTTGTTATAAAATGATTGAAGCAATTTCTATATGGAAATAAATGTGAAAAATAACTATATGATATTTTGGTAAAATATTCACCACTTATAATGCCTCATCTTAATAGCTAACTCAGGTTTAATAGTCTTACAAAAAGTAATCAGTTAAATGATTACTTGCTTATACATATCTAAACTAGTCCAGTTATGAAATCAGTGTAATACCCTGATTTTAAAAAGTGCTGCTTTTTATGCTTTAAGGAAAATACATTTCATATTTGAATTTAAAGGAATTGAAATTACTTCAGGAGATGAATATAAAATATGTTCACAGTTAAATGAATAGGCTTTTGTTTATATGGGGGTGGAGTTATTCTCCATTTTTTCTGCCATTTTTGGCTCTAGTTCAGGTCTTAGCTTGATTAGCAAAGGTTTTTGACAAACAGTTTATGAAAAAATAAAACTTAAATACATTACATGGGTTGTAAGGACAAAGGATTTTAAAATCTGGGTACTTAGGTGAAGGGACAAGCAGGTTTATGTGTTTAAAAAGAGAGGAGGGAAAAGGTACTATGTGATACAGTACTAAAATTTTAATCCCAATATAATTCATTTCTCTTACATTGAATCCCCAATCATAATTAAGCCGTATACACAGATTAAATTAACAGAAGCATTTCCCATAAATGTTGGTTTCAGTCATCAACTACCCATGAATTCCTGCCCAAGGATACTTAATCAGGATTAAATTTTCTATGAATAATTGAAAAACAAAACACTCACTGGATTTGTTATAATCCGTGTTGGCACTGGATTCTAAGTAGTTGCCATCTTGAATCCTTTGTAATAAAGCCATACTTTTGTGTGTGTGTGATGCCCCAGTATTGAGTATGCTAGCTAAAAAATATCAAGTGCCTGATTAAAGAATTGCTAAATGGTTGTTGATACTTGCTGTACAAAATAAGTGTTCCCATTAATAGTCACTGATTGGAAATTATTCCGTTGCTCTTTGTCAGGCTGTTGAGGACTTTTTCTTTTTACTCTGGCTTATTTTAAAAATATTTTTATCTACTTTAAGCAAGAAACAGTGCACTGATCTGGTAGTTAAAATCTTTTAAAAGCTAAAATAATGTAGTGCAGCTTAAAAAATATCTATGGCTTTGTCTTTGTTTTTCCCTTGCACCTAGTCTCATTGGAAATAACTAGTATTCTGCATCATTTTCAGGTCAGAATATGGGTTTGTGACTTGCAAAATGACAAAGTTACAAAGTTCGACCTGCTTATTAAATCATTTCTCTATTAGTTCTTTGTAAATCATTTAGTAAATTAGAGCTACAGGTTAAGACTAGAAAGTCTGAGTTATGTTTTAGGTTTACATGATCGTCTGAGTGGCCATAACCTTTTCTTTTATCATGTCTCACTAATAACCCCAGCTATTGCCTGTTGTGTTCAGCTGAGATGCAGTTAATTAAGCAAAAAAGGAAAAAGGTGAAGCCTTTTCATAAATTTTGTGAACTTGCCAAAAGGGGAAGGGAAGAATCTTTGTATTACTTTATTCAAAGAACATAAATGACGGAATTTAACGTAAATGAAATTTATTGCTCTGCTTGCATTTATGAAACAAGTTTTTTGAACTTTAATTCTTAAATTTATGGTTGAAATTGCTGATAGTTTATTTTGTTATTCAAGAGCCATTGTTAAGTGGAGGAAAGTAGTCGTTAATAAGCATGTAAAATTGTTCTTGACTAGTTATCAGGGACAAAATTTATAGTTCATAAGTCATGACACAGTATTCCCTCTTTTTCTGAATGTTTACATTGAGATTCATCACTGCAGATTACAGAAAGTTAAGTGTATACTACAAACTCTAAAGATAAAAATATTTTCTATTTTGCCAGATAATGCTTTTTTATGTGTTTTTACATTTTTTTTAAAGAAGATGAATGGTTTATCCAGAGTTTTATTAATGAACGTTTCTTTTCTTCCCTTAAAAAATAGATGTTTATTTTTATTGATGTGTGTATAATGAGATGGGTACCTACTGTGATGCATCAGGCATTTTACTTTCATTATTATTAATCTCTAATAGCCAAGCTCCCATTTAACTGAGTATAAGAGAGAATAAATGATTTCTCTAAGGTCACCAAACTAGTTTTTCCACTTTACCTTCATGATTTAATGAACACGTATTAGCTGTGTTTTAGTGAGAATGAATTGCTATCCATAATTTTCGCTGTTGATGTGAACATTAAACCTGGAACTATGCTGAAATCAGAAAATGAGCTTGAATACCTGTAAGACCTCAGCACACTTCAGTATTTGAACCTGGCTTTTAGTCAGAATTACCAGCAGGAGCGTTAATCAAGGAAGAAGACCTTGCTTTAGGGTAATTGTTTATGATCTCTGGTAAAGTAAGTCACATCTGATGAACACAGGAGATACACAAACCTGAGACCATCTCTAAAATAATGAGACTAGAACCTATCTATCGACATGAACCTGGGCTCCTTCAACATGTTTATTCTAGGAGACTGCACGTTCTTTGGAAATTGGAAACCTGGAATTGTCTGTGAAACATTTTCTTAAATAGCTTCTGTGGTACCAAATCATGAGGTGGTTTTTGAGAATTGATATGATTGTCAGAAGTAGCCAGATCCGGAGAGGTAATACCGTTTTTTTCTTCCAACATGTATTTGTGAACTGAGAGTGAGATAAAGAGATTGGTTTTCCTCTGTGATCTGAGAATAGTGTGGTAGAAGCACTGCAGCTTGATCTCTTGCAGTAGCTCTCTAAGTAATATTACTGCTTCCACACTTGGGTGGCTTTCTGCCCAGCTCCAGGGGGTCATATGTATTGTGCTGTAAGGAGTGCCATGAAGCCTGGAGGTGAGGAAAGAAGTGTTTCTGCCCACTAGGGCCATTCTCCCCAGTGTAGCCAAAACAATCTCTTAAAAGTAGAAATCATCTGGATGATAAGCATACAGAAATTCTTTGTGCTAATCTTACAACTTTTTTGTAACTTTGAAATTATTTCAAAAAGTTTTAAAATCGTATAAATCAGATCAAACTACCACTACGTCCCTGATTTAAAAACAAAACAAAACAATACTCCGTTTGGCTCTCATTGCACTTAGGAAAAAGTCCTTGTTCATTACCATGTTCTGCAAGGCCCATATGATCTGGTTATCTCTTAATTTGTACCACTCTCTCTCACATATATCCCAGCCTCAGATACTTGGCACTAGCCATATTCTCTGTCTAGGACATTCTCTCCCATGGCTGAATCCTCATCCTTCAGGTTCTCAGCTCAGATGATGTCTTTTAGAGAACTCACACCATCTGTGGTGGATTTATATGGTGCAGGTTAGTCAACCTGGAGATGTGTTCCCCAGAATTCTCTCCATGTATAATTTGAGGACAATGTGGGCCATAAGAAAGGTTTGATACAAGATAAAGAAAGCAGAAGTAAAGCAGCAGCCAGATCTGAATTCTCTTTTTAAGTGGAAGGACCAAACAAGGCACAAGGCACTGTTGCAGCTTATCCACATTATTGTTTATCTGTTGGCTCATCTTGGCCTGTGGGACAACCGTCAGGCCCACAGCAACACCAGCTCCTGTTGGAATGCCTCCTCCAGCTTCTCTGGCTCCTGAGTCAGGGGTGCATTTTACTCTGACAAAGGGTGCCAGCTTCTGCTGGACAACCCCCTCATTCATACTGGAGGGTTGGAGGCAGTAAGAGACCTATATGGCTTCCAGTCCGTCCTCACAAGTTCCACTCTGTTCCCACAGGTTCTCATCTTAGCAGGTTCCTTGCTTCCCCCATTTCCCATGTCTTCCCTTTCCAGCTGACAAACACAAAAGAAACAGCCTCCCGTAATTCCTGTAAGTCCCTTATTTTGAATATTAAGATGTGTGTATGTGTTTGATTCTAGTGGTTCTTTTCCGGTCAGACCCTGATTGACATACCATCCTATCTAATGCTATTCCCCAATCCTAGTTCTATCATATTATCCCCTTTCTTCTTGGTTGTACTTAGCTGGTTTATCTTTGTCATCTCTCTAGAATGTAAATTTTAAGCGAGTTTGTCTCTTGTTTATTGCTGGATGCCTAATACTAGGACAATCCCTGGTGAATACTAGATGCTCAAAAACATTTTTGAGTGAATGAATGAAGGTAATGCTGAAAAAGTTTCAAATCTGTACTTAGCAGTGTAGTATCAATTAAATAATAGAACCGCCCATAGTGACTTCAGCAATGCCTTGTCTGTTCTTGTTCAGTTGTATGGAACTTGGTATTGTGTAAAAATCTTGACTAGTCAAGTAGTTGTTATAAAACATCCATTACAAGAGGATTTCTCAAGTTCTCGCAGAAGCAGTTTCTCTTTATTTTGCGTAGTCCTGTAATAGGGCCATGTGTCTTGTTTCTTGGCCTGCCACAACTAGATACACCAATTTAAAAGAGAAGTTTCTAGTCAGCTAGAGGAGGGAATGCTGACAGTAGTCGGAAGCAGCTGGGAAAAGATAGAAAAACTGGAAATGACAGTAACACTCAAATTGCAGCAGCCTGGGGTCATTTAGTGTAGGTGAAAGCAGCCCTGTGTATCTCAGTAGACTCTTAAGAGCTTTATTCAATATATTTATGACAGTGACCGATAGTAATCAAGAAAATATTAAGTTATAAATTAGGCTTAGTAACCTCAAAGAGGTATGCTAAAACCTTGTAATGTTTTCTTCTTGTTAAACAGGTAATGTATGCACGTTGTACAAAAACCAGAAAGTTGAAAAAGGTGGAGAAAAGTCCTTCTCCCAGTCATTTCCCATCCCTGGATCTAACCTCTGTTACCAGTTATCTTTTTAGAAATGGCCCCACGCACGTGTAAACATATGTATATATGAAACACAAATTATAGCATAGCATACAGACTTTTGCACATTCAGCAATTTATTCTGTAGCCCTACCTACAGAATTGTCCCATTTTTTTCACTGATTGCATAGAACTCCATTATATGGATGTATTTTGATTTTTTTAAAGAATCAGTTCTGTTACTGGACGTTGTTGGTTTCTAGTCTTTTGCTAATACAGACAAGGCTGAAATTAAGACTGTAATCAATAATTTGCCAAGGCTCCTCCCCTCCTCTCAAACTGCCTCCACTCCAGCTTCCAGGTCTAGATCCTTGTGATTTTCTAGGTGATAGAAGTATCTTGTTATTCACAGTGAGCTCTGATAATTATGCCTAGAAGATGACTCAGATAGGCGCTGGCCACACCAGAAGACAAACCATCGGATTAGAGGGTTGGAGTTTTGAGTCATATGATATGAGCCTAACCTCTGAGGTGGAGGGAGGGGCTTGAGATTTGAGTTCAGCCTTATATAGTGATTGAGTCAATCAGTTATGCCTGTAGTGAAACCCTGAGAGAAGCTCTGGTCAGTGATGCTCAAGTGAACTTCCCTGGTTGGCAACAGTCTGCATGTTCTAGGAGGGTGATGTTTCCCCAAAGACACGGAAGCTTTGTGTTTGGGATCCTCCTACACCTTGTTCTATGTATAGCTTTTTTTGGCTGTTCTGATTTGTATCCTTTTGCTATAATAAACTATAATTGTATGCATAACACTTTGCTGAGTTCTGTGAGTTGTTCTAGCTAATTATCAAACCTGAAGGCATTGCGGGAACCCCTGAACTTGCAGCCAGTTGGTCAGAAGTTAGGATGGCTCTGGGAATGCCCAAAGTTGCTGCTAGTTTCTGAAGTGAGGGCAGTCAGTCATATGGAGAATTGGACCCTTAACCTGTGAAGTTTGGCTTAGCTTTAGCCAGTTGGTGTCAGAAGCTATTGCAAATATCCTGATTATCCATGCAAAACAAGAACACTTAACAGAAAATTATGCTGCCCTCTCTGGTAGAGATAATTTTCTGTTAAGTGTTTTTGTTTTTCATGGATTGTACTAGATACCAATCTGATAAGTAACTTTTATTCATTATAGTTTTAATTTGTATTTCTCTTATTAATGTATATGTTTTAAAACAATTTTCTTTCCAGTTCTATGATCTGTTAATATATTTTTCCTACTTTTCTATTGGGTTGGTTGTCTTTTTCTTATTGATTTGTTGAAACTCTTTATTTAAAAAATTGGTCATTTGTGATGTGAGTTTAAACTGTGTTTCTCAGTTTGTCATTTTTCTTTTACTTTTTTAATGGTATCTTTTTCTCATAGATTTTTTTTTTTAATGCAGGTGGAATTATCAGTCTTTTATTTTTTTTCTTCTGTGTTCTACCTTTTCAGAGATAGAAAAGCCTTATCTCTTTGAGATGGTTTAAATGCCCTGCATTTTCATCTAGTGGTTATTTTTTATTTATTTATTTATTTTTTTGAGACGGAGTCTCGCTCTTGTTACCCAGGCTGGAGTGCAATGGCGCGATCTCGGCTCACCGCAACCTCCGTCTCCTGGGTCAGGCAATTCTCCTGCCTCAGCCTCCTGAGTAGCTGGGATTACAGGCACGCACCACCATGCCCAGCTAATTTTTTGTATTTTTAGTAGAGACGGGGTTTCACCATGTTGACCAGGATGGTCTCGATCTCTTGACCTCGTGATCCACCCGCCTTGGCCTCCCAAAGTGCTGGGATTACAGGCTTGAGCCACCGCGCCCGGCCCTAGTGGTTATTTTTTTATGTTTAAATTTTTTTTATCTACCTGGAATTTATTTGCTGTTAAAATATGAACTAGAGATGCAACTTAATTTTTTTCAGATGGTTGCCCACTTATTGCAATATCATGTTATGTAATCTGTCTTTTTTTTTTTTTAATACTGATTTGTTGCTAATTGATTTCTGGACTTGTAAGGCTATGTGATGAACTGTTGATTCATGATCTGGTACCACACTGTTTCAATTATTGTAGTTTAAAATTGCTGTACTCTCTGGTAGGGATAATTTTCAGTTAAGTGTTTTTGCTTTTTATAATTTTCCAATTAGTCCTGCTCATATTTTATATTTTGAAATCAATTTTTCTGGTTTTTAAAAGAAAAAAATCCCATTTAGTATTCTTGGTGGAATGAATTAATTTCCATAGCAATTTAGAGAAATTCGACTTTCTTAATGTGTTGACTGTTAAACACACAGATGGTAGCATGCCATTGACTCCTCAGCCAAGTGTATTATCAACTGTCTGAAACTGGTTTTTCCCATTGTGATCCAAGAAAATAGTATGAAATGCCTTTCTGATTTTTTAATACTTATATATAATACATATTGTATATACTATATATTAAGTAATCAGAAGTATGTGTTTCTCAATCAGCTTTTAAAAACCTCTTTATTATAGCTCTTGTATATTTCTCGATACCCATGAACAATTTTAATATTTTCTTTCATTATGTGTTGCATATGGCTGTTGTTTTATGCATGGAAACTGTTGATTTCTGCATTTTAATTTTGTTCCCAGTCACCTAACTGAATTCTTCTAACAGTTGCAATAAATTTCTGGCTGGTTCTCTTGCATTTTCTAGATGAACAACCATATTATTTGCTGCAAATAATCATCATTTTTGTCTTTTCCGTTTTTTACCTCTAATTGTTGCCCCTTATGGCTGGTATCTCCAGAACAGTGCTTTTTGCTTTTTTTGTTTTAGAAAGATAGGGGCTCGCTGCTTGTCACCCAGGCTGGAGTGCAGTGGCATGATCACAGCTCACTGCAACCTCAAACTCCTAGGCTCAAGCTACATTCCTACCTCAGACTCCTGAGTAGCTAGGACTATAGGTGCATACTGCCACAACTGGCTAATTTTTAAATTTTTTTGTAGTGTCAATCTCACTATGTTGCCCAAGTGGATCTCAAACTTCTGGCCTCAAGCAATCCTCCTGCCTCCGCCTTCCAAAACTCTGGGATTAGAGGGCATGAGCCACTGTGCTCAGCCTAGAACAATGTTAAATTTTGATTTAACATTGTTAAATCAATTAGAAATCATTGTTAAATCAAAGTAGATTTCTGTATTCCACATGTAGTGGTTCCAAGTAGACTTCGAATAGTTACGTTATGTATATTGTAATCCCTACTAGAGCATTAAAAATTTAAAAGACTGTACAAACAGATACTGTCAAAAATACAATGGGAAAATTAAAATGAAATAATCCCCAAAATAGAGAAAAGTTGTAACAGGAGTTTAAAACAAAACATGAAACCAGGAAAACAAGCAGAAAACAAAATGTTAGAACCAAATCCAAACACATTAATAATTACATTAAATGTAAATGATGTAAAGATGCCAATTAAAAGAAAGAGATTGTTAGTTTTTTTAAGTGACCCAGCTATATACTATTTGCAAGAAACTCACTTCAAATATAGTGATAGAGGTAAGTTTAAAATGATGGGAAAAGATATATCCGTGTGTCTTAGTCTATTCAGGCCGTTATAATGAAACATCTTAGACTGAATATAAGCAAGAGAAATTTATTGCTCATCATTCTGGAGGCTGTGAAGTCTAAGATCAAGGTGCTAGCAGATTCAGTGTCTGGTGAGAGCTTGCGCTCAGCCTCAAAGGTGATGACTTCTTGCTGCATCCTCACAAATACAGATGGGGCCAGGGGAGTCTCTTGGGCCTCTTTATAAGGACACGAATCCAATTCATGAGGGCTGAGCCCTCATGACTTAATCACTTCCCACAGACCCCCACCTCCCAACATCATCACATTATCTCATTCCAGCATATAAATTTTGGGGGGACACCAGCATTCAGACCCTAGCACCATGCAAACAATAAAAGCTAGAATAGCTATATTAACATAAAAGTAGACTTTAGAGTAACAAAAATTACCAGGGATAAAGAAAAGATAATCACTTCACTAAGAAGACATTACAGTCTTAAATGTACACACCAAACAACAAGTCTTCAAAATTCATGCAGCAAAGACTGACAGAACTGAAAGAGGAAATAGACAAGTTCATAATCATAGTTGGATACTCATATGGTTTGGATCTGTGTCCCTGCCCAAATCTCATGTCAAATTGTAATGCCCAAAGTTGGAGGTGGAGCCTGGTGGGAGGTAATTGGATCATGGGGGCAGTTTCTATTGAATGGTAAA